CCAATGTGACTTCTGTTGCATGAGAAGCAACCCACAGCTACCCCAAGAACTCCGCATAGATCCTAAACCCCACGCCGATTACTTAGGAGCTGTTCTAACTCATAACTCAGCCGCCAAAGCGGACGCTAAAAAGCGATATGCGCAGGCCTCGCACGCGGCCAAATGTCTACATGACTTCTTTAGGCACCCCTCCATAACCATTAAGCGAAAGCTGCTAGTTCATTCCCAGATCGTGTTGGCCATCCTTCTGTATGGCTCGGAATCGCAGATGTATTTACAACCTGACCTCACTAAACTGAACAAGCTACACTACAAGGTCCTTAGACAGATCTTCAACATCAAAAGTTCCTTTTATCATATAGTCTTGGAACCATCGGAGGCAGTATGCTCCAACGAATATTTATCCCAGCTTGCCTATGAGTACGCCCCCAAACTTCTATCTCCATCACAGAATATCATTTCATCCCGGATCTTTTATCTCGGACATATCCTCAGACATGAAGATTCAATCGAACACATTTCCACCTACCAAACAGCACATGCCTACAGACGCCTCCATAGGAAAAGACCTGGCCACCCTCGCATACATTGGGCCGAATTGACCATGACGCAAGCGTACCAACGCTATCAAATACTTTCCTCGAATTCCCCTATTCCCCGCCCCTACCAAATACACCACGATATCTATCACCATCCTACAGAAAGAGAGGTGGCTGCTGCCCATTCCAGATTTTTTGGTAATACTGACCTTTGGAGGACCCTACAGCCGTTAGCTCAAAACCGTAGATCATGGGCTCAGTTAGAAGTTTTGCGTTAATCAGCTGAAAGGGCTGCTGACGAGTAGTCTCACTTGTGGACTTGCTCTGCGCGACTGAGAGAGAGAGAGAGAGAGAGAGACTGGATTCCTGGCCACCCGGAGCCGCTATCGAACGGACACAGTGAGCGACCGTCGACATACGTCGTTGGGTCTGCCGCCACCGGTGAGCTTCGATGTGTCGCTCCGCTTGCCTGGATTAATGTCCCTTTGCAGCTGATCGAATTGAGCTGTGAAGCGCATGTTGCTTGCCGCCCTGAGGTGATGTGGGCTGCATCAAGTTTGGCCTTTCACTCTATTTTGCTGGACTTTGGACTTATGGACTTTCGTGTGCACGATCGTTTGGTAACAAGGTTACGGGGACTGTCCGTTATCGGACGCGACGAGAGCGGCAGTCGGAGGGATTGGTGCTCCACGCGTCGCCTTGGGCTGCTTGGGGTGACGACCCTCTGTAGCTTCCTTCCGGTCGCTGAGAGGGCTGTAGTTCGACTGAACGGCTGGCGCCGGCTAAGTCTGCGTGCCGCAGTCACTTGTTTTCCCTCTTTGTGTCACCGCCGTTTTGGTTGCTTGTTCATGTTTGTTTGTTTGTAGGGACCGAGTGCTACAGCCGTAGCCGACGAGGCCCGCCCACGCAAAAAAAAAAACCATCATGGCTCGCTCGGCGGGCGACGTATGTCGCCCTGGCGGTGCTGCGTACAATAAAAGCTGCGGACCCAGGCAACCATGTGCGGCCTCAGAGAGAACCGGCAAAACACCCGCACCTAACACTTCCAGCTCTAGCAACCGCGCAGCAGAGTTTTTCTAAGAGTGCGCCGGTACCGTGGCAACGGGAGCCCAGGCGGAGCCTGAGCACCACTCGCACATCATACAGGACTCAGAGATTGGTCCCCGCACAGTGCACGCACAGGCGACTGTTTTGCCAATCAACCGGCACGGGCCGGTGTCCGAAGGGTTGTGCCATGTACACAAGCAAGTCGTGCTGCTGCGCTCAATAACCAGCGCGCAGCGATCTTGGCCGGGCACGTCCGGTGGCGCCAATCCTCATCGAGGCCGCTCAATGACGAACATGTGGGCCGCTGCGTGGCGTAGGACACACGAGAGTGGCGTGTTGGACAGCGTCCTGCAGGTTCACTGTGGCACAACATTGGCATTCAATCGAGAATTCATTGGCATGCGCGGCAGACAGATGCCAACTTCTCCCAGCAGCAATGCAGTCGGTCCGCCAAAGCTTCTTCCAAACCTGACTGAAAGCTTTTTTTGTGCTGCACAAGCGCAATGGAGTTGGCTGGCACATTCAGCGTTGGCAGCGCATGTGTAGAAGCTGTATCTTCGACTGCATGTTGCTTTGTCTATCGCATTATGTTTCATTTCCGTCGTATCTCGTTAATGGAGGATACTCTCTCAATCTGCATTGAGCATTAATTCTGATGGAGAGATGCGTGGGGTTTTGTGTTTTAATCAGGCTCACAAGCAACGTTTTTTTCCACGTGAGTTGTTTTCTTCGAAAAATTTTGCATGTTTCAGCTCTGCATCGCATTTCCTGCAACGATTGGCCCAAGCTTGAATGTGGCATACATGATTTTTTCGCGGTTTTTTGCTTTCGAGATAAGGACAATCGCAAAGAAGACCAAGTTAACATAACTTTAAAGATCAACATTCGAAGTTCTAGATGGTACCCAAACCGAACGTTTCAAAACGTTTGCAAGATCATGTATTAAAGCACCGCGCTTTGTTCCTTGCGCCCCCACATTGCTGGACAAGATGCTGCATGTTTGGATGCTTTCCGGCGAGCAGGCTGGTTTGGGTTTCGCTTGCGATCATCATCGCGGTTGTCAAAGTAGTAGTGCGACTGAATGTGAAAGGTAATTGTATGCGTAGCGTGCCCCAATGCAATTTACAGCAATGTATCTCGCTGCAGTAGTACTTGGCGGTTGTTTGCACTGAACCTCAGTTCATGCTTCCACTGTAGTTGCATATGTAGACTTGCACACTTTCACGATCCCAACAGAACATTCCAAGGTGGAGATTCCTAAGGCAGAGCATGACGACGTGAAGAGCGTAAAGCAACTTACTGAGCATTTACGTGGCGAAGTTTCAAAGAAAAAACAGGTTTCGAGTCTACTAGCCGGCTTTGGACATGGTGACTCCCTAAATGCCACAACATTGAGCTTGTGGAGTCGGCTTTGATGTGGAAGTAAGGCGAAGCTTACAGACGCTCCTGAACATACCAAGATTCCGGCAAAGACTTGTTCACGGAGATATGGTTTTAAAAGATGGTGCTGCCGTGGCCCCACTGGTAGATGTTAAGCTGGTGGTGCTGCGGCGTTTCGCCACAGACTCCCAAGCTCTGCCGAGACTCATTACGCAGAGCGCAGATGGCCGAGCAGCGGAAGTGGAGTCGTTGTTGGAAGAGCCACAAGATCCCGACTTATTGGATGCCAGAGGCTTTACAGCTCTGATGCACGCATCTGTGCAAGGGCACGTGGAGGTTGTGCGTCTCCTGCTGGAGGCCATGGCCAAGCCGAACAAAAGGAACAGAGATGGTGCGACGGCTCTTTTTCACGCATCCAGGCGCGGCCAAGACGAGGCTGTACGCTTGCTGCTGGAGGCTCGGGCGGACGTGAACGTGAAAAACAACGACGGAGAAACTGCTCTGATGAATGCCGCTTGCCGTGGCAACGCAGAATCTACACGTTTGCTCTTGGAAGCCCGGGCCAACATGAACGAGGTTGCAAAGAATGGAGCTACTGCTTTGATTTGCACATGGGTAAGCCGTGACATGAGGTCAGCGCAGGTGCTGCTGGAAGCGCAGGTTGACACGCGGGGTGCTGTTGGGTTCATGGCTTGGGTTTTCACGGCTATGCTGGTGATTTTGGTCCTCGATGCAGTCTTCATCTACTTGATGTTTGCTCCTGGGAGTTCCTTGCAGCATGTGACGTGGGCTGTCTGTTCCTGCTTGTGTACAGGTTTTGTCTCTCTCGTGTTCTGGACTCTTCGGGGCTCTCGGGAATCCTGGGTGGCATATGCAGCAGTTACAGACGCTGTCAGACGCATTTGCCGGGATCTGGGGACAGCCTACCAATGTTCCCATATGCGGGCAAGACAACCACTCCTGGCAGATCACCAGGTGCCTTGCATTCCTCACTCAGCCCAGCCCCGGGTAAGACTATAAGATCATAAGACTGTTTTATACACCAGCACTAGAATCATATTATAAGATTACTATAAGCATACTATAACAGTACTATAAAAATACTATACTACAATTTAATGGTTCTACAATCATGCAATAAAAATTTGGTCGCCTCTCTTGAACTTAGGTGGAGCCTGGAGCGGGCAAGGATGGCACCCTTCAAACCCTAAACCCCTGAAGCCCTGAAGCCCTGAACCCCTGAACCCCTGAACCCTCAACCCTGAGCCCTAAACCCTAAACCCTTTAAATCCTAAACCCAACTATAAACCTACAAGGCTGGAGCACCCTTGAGAAGCAGAGCATCTTCTGAGTCTGTGGAGCTGATGGCACATGAGGTCGCAGAAACGGCTAGCAATCTGGGAGTTTCCGAAAAGTAGGGCTACCTTATCTTGGGGCCTTAAAATAAGGATCCCATTATTTAGGGTACTCTATTAGGGTCCCCCATTTTCGGAAACTCCCATCTCGGTGACGGCTAGCCTGGTCAGAAGGAACACATGGGCAGAAAAAAAGGGGCAGAAGGGGCTTTTCAAGCATTGAAGCTTTCAGTGAGGGCTTGGGCTTCCGAGCCGTTGAATCTGCGTCAGGGATGTTGTGTGAATGGAATGACGAATGTTGCAGCAACTCAATCTGACACGCCAATGCATGGGCTCAGTACAAGCTTCATGAAACTGGTTTTGCAGTTCAGCTTGCTGGCATAGAGGATCACAGAGACCAAAACTGTTCGTCGTGGTGTCGCTTGCCTCAAGCTGCACAAGTGCTGATGTGCGTATAAGTCATGTGGGCTGCTGACATGGAGTACAATTACACGGCAGGAAGTTCGACTGAGACAGATCTTTCCCCTTCAGCCTCATCATGGCTTCCCACAGGTAGACTGTGCCATTTATCATGCGACTCTTGCATGTACGAATACAGATACTTGCGACGAACTTGTTGTGGTAAAATGCTGGCATGGTAGATGCAGTGTAGATCGCCTCCCATGGTGGATGTTTGGCGATGCGAATTATGGCTGCTTGGCCCGCGGTCAGCGTCTGGCGGATCTATTGGGGCTTTTTGTGGGGAGTCTATGGTTTATGATGCATGGGTTTGAAGGTTTCCGATGCAAGGCAGCGCAGCAGGGTGTAATGTAGGAACCTGATTAACAAATTCCTGGCCCTGTAACCCCCAATATGTTAAGATCCAACTATGGAGCCCTAATAAGGACCCAGGGTTTCTTAATCAGGCTCCTACATTAGACGACGCCCTGGGCCTGAAGTCCAACCCTAAAGCTTACATCCCACTCTCTCAGAGCAGCCAGAAGCCGCCAAGCCGGGAAGATACCCAGCTCTAGACGCCGAATCCGCAAGCATACCCGTAAATCGCAGGGCAGTCTTAAAATGCCCAACCCTCAACTCAGCATCCCAGACCCCCACATCTTCGAATTCCTTATCTCTATAAGCCGAGATCCTGAACCCTAAGCCGGAACTCCGACTCGCAAGTGTCGTCACCAAGGGATCCCACAGGCTAGCCGGTAGGATTGGGGTCTGGGGCTGTAAGGTTCGATCCTTTCATCCCAGTCCTTTCTCGGGCTGTCCTTCGAAGAGGGATTGCGCCATGTAGGCTTCTTTATTAGAGGAACTCCCAAGTCCTTCGCTTCAACTGGGTTGTAACTCCGGATACAAGGACAGCCGCCCAGCTTTGGGAACTGACCCGCCTTATGACCTCCTTCCTGACACTGCTGATCCTTCCTGCATCGCTTCAGCCTTCACAAAGTACCGCGCAAACGACGCCAGGTTCAGGGTTTAGGGCAACTCCCCAGCCCGGCATGCTCCAGGCCCCAAGGCCCCTCCCCCCGCGCCCTTCAACTTCCGAATTCTCAGAAGCTAGATCCCTCAGAAAGCCGAGTGAAACTTCTAGACTTCTAGACTCTCCTGTTACAGCTCCCAGCTCCCATCTCTCTTAAGTCTTCGGGTTGAGGGTTCGGGGTCCCCAGACACTACATAGCCCAGCTCTCTTGAGGAATAGCCCAGCGCCAAAAAATGAAAAAAAAGCATCCGGCCAACCCGTATTGCAGGAGCTGAAGGAGCTGTGCTTCCTCTTTGCCTTGGTTCTATTGTAGCTTGGTGGTTATGGAATGGGCGAAGAGGGTTGTGGTACGGTTTCCTGTTGCGGCCTTGTAAGATGAAGCCGCTCGCCGAAGGCGAAAAATGTTCGATCAAGAAAGTTAGAAAGCAGTTATTGTTAATCAGGGTTTCTCCATTCGTCCACCGGAGCGCGGCTAGCTCGCGACCCCAAACCTTAGCCCAAACCCGACACCCCAGATTCCCTAAATCCTAAACCCTAAATCGAATTCTTACGGAAACCCAGACGACTCCCTTGTAGATGCTGCACAGGTCAAGGTCCATTATAGAATCCTGAATCCTAGGCCCAGGTGGATGGCGCACTTGGGACTTTGTAAGCTTGGAGCATCAGAATCCTTCTATTTCGGCTTAGAACCTAGTTACTCAGTCGCTGGGTTATTGAGGTTTTACCAGACAAGTACTGCCAGGGATTTATGAGGATTCGAAAAGGGTTCTGGCGGCATTCTGTTTAGGTTTAGGGTCTAAGGTTTGGGCTCAGTTTTGTATTTGGCCCGATCCAGGCATGCGAATGGCTACGAGCTGCGAGCGAGCTGGATTCCAGTCAATGCCACAGGTTCCTTGAACCATCGTTGGTCGGATGTCCCAAGACCCAGAAACCGTCTGTTTATGAAGAAAAGCAATGAAAAGCAGAAGTGTAGACTCTAGTTCCTTCGAGTTACTTCGTAGAAGAAGATTTGATGATGCCTCAGTTCGGGATTGGGCAACTGGAGAGAGGCAAGATTATACGCTCCCATGCCATTTTGACGCGTGCCTGGTAACACAGAGAAGCGTTTCGCGTTGCAAAATACCACAGAGGAACAACATCATTCATGGATTTGCATGCGCGCGAAAATGCCTGTGTTTTCCCTTAACATGCGCTAAGACTCGAAAAACATCCCGTGCACAGGCGGGAAGAAGCGTGTTGTCCGGCCATGTAGATGCTAACATTGAGAGTTCACTTTAGCGCTGTCATCGCACCGGGGTTTGTCGGGAACAGTTCAAGACTCGAGCAATTTGACCTTGCTGACGCTGTTAAAACAACAAGAGCTTAAGAGAGTCAGAACGCACACACAAATCATACGAGCATTATTATCGTGACAACTAGGATGCAGAGGCCGTGGAGTGCATGACCGTCTGATGTATTTTCAGAAGACCCCCAAAAAGCGGGGAGATAGAGGTTTCATGTTGTTTCGGGTCACTGGAACCTTCTAGAAGCAGATCTTCACCATGGCAAACAAAGGTTATCAAAGGTTACAGCAGTGACAGCCTATTGGTGTAGTGCATCCGGTACAGACAGCTCCAGAAAAGGAGGTGTCATGCTAGGCTGCTTAGTTGGAGGCCTAGACAAGAGCTTTTCCGGTACTGTGTATAGTTCTGTACAGCAGCTTGTACGGGCAATGTGCGAAAGCAGAACGGCTGCAATAAAATACGTGAGAACTGTCCAAGGTTTGGGGCTTAGGGGTTACAGCGGATGGAAGAACCCACTCCCAACCCCCGCCCCTGCCCAGCACATCCAAAGCTTATATAACCTTAATATAGCTATTATATAGCCCATTATAGGGTAGGGGTCCCCATTGAGTTCACAACGCGCCATAAATGCCGAGCCGAAAGGACCCTGAAACCTAGTCGAAAGTGCACGTGAGAAGGGTATGGAAGGTACAACAAATCGGGGTATATGCACAGAGAGTGAGTATGCACGTGCAGCCTAAACCTTCAAGTCAAAACCCCTTGACATTATATCCTAGTAGTGTCATTGATGGCTTGTTATGATTGGTTTCTTATGCTTACTTACTAACAATATGATTCCGACTATCTGTATTACTCTGCTACTTTTACTACTACTACTACTACTACTACTACTACTACTACTACTACTACTACTACTACTACTACTACTACTACTACTACTACTACTACTACTACTGGTCTACTGATTGCTCCCAAACCGTTGAGCTCCGAGCCCGAACCCGGTGCATCAAAACGTCGACGCCAACCGCCAAACTCGCGGTTCTTTGCCGCAGACTGTTCCGAAGCGAGCCTTAGAAGGCAACATGCCAAGCAAGAGGGCTTCGGTTTGGGGGTTTGAGGCTTAACCTCCTAAACCTCAAACCCTAAGCCCTAGTTTAAGGTCTGTGTTTTTTGGGGGTTGGGCTTAAGGTTCAGGGATCATAGTTTCGGCGCGAGTTGTCCAGCGATTCGGGTTCAGGTTTGCCGTTCGGGTTTCAGGGTTTCGGGAAATGCGAGTCACTGATCCGAGGTTGCTTTGACGATCCATACTACTACGATGTCCGGCACTGAGAGCTCATTGGGTGTATCCTGAACCCAGAACCCTAAACCCTAAACCCTGAACCCCAAACCCTAAATCGTGATTGCTCGCTGCAGGCTTTGAGCTTGGGCCTCGGCTTCGCTTTTTCGAGTTTCAACGTTTCATTTGCGGAAGCTTATCGCCGACTTCTGACAGTTTGCAACCCTAAACCCTAATCCCCGACAGCTTCTTCAGGTTCGAAGGCCACGCTTCGCGTTTGCTGTTTGAGCGGTTAGCATACCCAAAGCCCCACCTCCTTGAAGTTGAAGCCTGCAGTCCTAACCCCCCGAACTCGGAGCCCGAAGGCTAGATGGCGAAGGGTCTAGAGCTTTGGTTTTCTTTCGGGGGTCTAGCGATCGGGATTTGAGGTTGTGGGGGTTTAGAGGTTAGGGTTTAGAGCTGTGGTCCTCTTCTGTTATGTACATATGCGTCGTTTGTGCAGATGCTTGGTGTTCCAAAGTTGAAGCTAACAGAGCCTCCTGATCTACCGAGCAGCGCGTAAAGACCTCATGACCTAAACTGATCTAGAGCGTAATGCCCCCCCCAAAAAAAATAATGTGTGGTTGCAGCACACAGACATTTCGCTTGGCCGGAAACCTGGCTTGCGAGCTGAGAACCTCTTCGTGTCCTTGGGCGCTGGGACCACTTGCCGCATAGATATCACGGACACCACCGGCGCCTTGGCTGCAGCAAGATGCTTCCTTAACACCGTTTGCTCGCGGAAGCTGGAGTTGCAAGTTACAAGCAATAAGTACTGGAGCCGAGGTTACTGCTCTTCTGACCTATCACTACCTTACCTATTTATCACTTACCCAGCAACCTTGAACCTTGTCCTTCAACACCTCATCTACAATTGGCATCCATCCGCGACCGCGGATTCCATTGGTGTAAGGGGGACCTGAAGCAAATGGATAAAGGAACTCCACAACAAAAACACCGAACCCGTAAACTCATAGGAGTTTTAGCCTATGGGGGTCAAGTAGGGATTAGGGTTCCATTAATAGGGTTCATATTAAGGAATCCCAACCCCAAGAATCTTAAACCCCCCTTTTGGCCTCCCATCGTAAGCGTATCTTAGAAAACGTTTCATCGGAGTTGACGTCCCAGGGAGCCCAACTCACCACCTAAGTAAGCAATGATGGGTCGTAGGTTTCGTAGAGAGTTGTTTAGGGTTTAGGGGTTCAGGGTTTGGGGTTTGGGGTAGGTTTCGTAGAGAGTTATCATTTTTGTTATGTCCACCAGTGTTTCATGTCTGTACATGCGGCTTCGGAGAGGTTCCATAGGCTGTTTTCGGATCTTCTTCTTCTTCGGGCAGACCCAACCAAACCCTACACCAACAGCTTTAAGCCCTTGGGGATCTTCGAGGTTGATGCCGCGTGTATATCCCTTAGTTCAACTACACTACACCTTGACCGACTCCTAAGCCGCTTAGCTTAGGGTTTAGGGTTCAAGGTTCAGGGTTTAGGGTTTAGGGTCTATAGGGTTTAGGGCAGTTTATGGTTTAGGGTTCAAGGTTCAGGCTCTAGGGTTTAGGGTTTAGGGTTCTCAGCCCTCGCCCTTCCGGCGCCAAGCACGTGCCCGGCACCGAGGCAATGGCCAAGGGACCACCTCTTCGCATCGGGCTCAGTCTTTCTTTTTGGGGGACGGGGTTCCTTTAAGGGGTCAGTTAAATGTTGCTAGACTCCGGTTTTGGGCCGCGTAAGGTGTGAGGTACGTGACCGCAATGAAAGGACTGCCAGTGTTACCATCGCTTCTCGACATGAACCAGCTCGTTAGCGTCGATGTCACGTCACAACCTTCCAGCTTGTGACCTTGAGGGCCACTCGGGGTGATTTCTGTACACAGTTCACTCAGGTATGTGCAGAGAGTCTCTCCTCGTCGCGTTGCATGTAGCTCGTGCCGACTACATTCGAGGGGCTTGGATCGGAATGTACTTCGGCGGTTCCTGAGAGTTGCGCAACCTTTCGACACATCATCATCTGCCATTGCTCATCTCATCGTATCCTGGATACACCGCAGAGTGTTTCAGACTTCGACTAATCCTGGCCCATTCGTGCTCCCCCAAACGGGCAATCAGTCCCATGTGGTAGTAAGTTTGGTGATGGGCCGGGTGGAAAGTCGGGGGGAGGGGGGGGGCGGGGGGAAAAAGAGAAAAACATAGCGGAGAGCACGAGGGAGATCGATCTGGATGTGGAGCAACTCGGGGTTGCTTGACGCTTCCGACTGTAAACCCTCTAGCCGACCTTAAACTACCCAAACCCACCTTTTTCTGCAGGTTCTTACTTTGGGGACCCAACCAAAAGGGCAGCATCACAACCCAGAGATCCCGATACCCCTCAATTAAGGAACATACCTTAAATTATAGAGGCCCAAATATTATGATTTAATAGGTATATTCCTTTATGAAGGGGTATCGGGATCTCTGGGAACCCACCAAAACAATCAGCAAGTGTGTCGAGGTCCCGGGGGTTCGACACGCTAGAAGATTGCCCCCTCGGCCGAAACGGGGGTGGGGGTTCAGACTTTTCTGTGTTCTTTCTGATCTGAGGTTTCTTTTTGTTTCAAGGTTTGGGGCTCTCTAGGTTGTTTTGTTGTTTTGTATTTTTCTTTCAGTTTTTTTTTTTCTTCGGGTTCTGGTTCTTCCAGGTTGGTTTCTTCTGTTTTGGTTTAAGGTTGTGTATGTGTTTCCGGTTTGGGGGGGTCTGTGCGGTATGGGGCTGTCGTGGTTTTCAAGTTTCGTGTTTGGTTTTTTGGCACCACCGGATTTCAGGGTTTTGGGGATTCATGGATTTTGGGGGTTTTGATTTGTGAGGTCGTGAGATTGGCGGGTTTTCGGGTTTTGACTTTTTTCAGGGGTGTTGTTATTCTCAATGTTTGCGGGTTGTTAGTATTTAAATGTGCTGGTTCTGGGTTTTGCGGCTTTCCGTTTCTCTAGGGTCTGGAGTTTGCGGTTTAGGATTCTGTACGGGCTGTATAGGAAGTGTCTTTTGAGAGGTTCACAGCGTGCGTGGTTTCGGGTGCACGGCATCCATGGGCGATCATGGGTCTTTGCGCTTTGTCCCTAAACCCTAACCCCTAAACCCGGGCCTCGTCAGGTTTTAAGTCGGAGCTTGCGACTGCCCTTATCGGGGTTGCCCTGCGGACTACATCGGATTAGCCTACCGTTTGCCTCTGGTTCTCAAAGGCTCTGAGGGCTCCCGAAGGATGGCTACAGTAGGGATTCCATCGGGATCGCAGGTTGCATTGTAGGGAGTCTTTACACCCTAAACCCCTAAACCCCTGACCCCCTAAACCCCTAATCCCCTAAACCCCTAAACCCCTACACCCCTAAACACCTGAACCCCTAACCCCCTAAACCACTAAACCCCCTAAACCCCTAAACCCCTAAAGCCTAAACCCACTGTTGGGGTTTCCTGGGTCAGCTCGAAGCTCTCGGGACTGCTCCGCACTCCGCAAACCTCGGCTTTTTCAACCCTTCCACCCCGAAGCTTAGGGCCCAAGTTTCTTGTGTCCTAAAGCCTCAAACCCAGCACCCTCAACATTGAAGACCTCTTCTCCGTTTCTGGGATCAGGGATGCAGCGAGTAAGATCTCATTTGCATCCTACTCGGGGTGTGGCCCCTTGTCACTCTGCACTTCAAGGCTCCTTCTGCACACCCTTGTCCTTGCCTTTAGAGTCCCAGGAATAGCGTTCTGGCTTCTGGGTTTAGGCTTTTGCCCACCCGGTTCTTGTGCTTTCCGTAAGATCCCCCTACAGGAAGCCTCAGAGGAATCCTTTTCGAAGCCTTTAGAGAAACTCACAAAGCATCCCTCAAAGGAGAACTGTCAGGGAACCCCCTCAGACCGAAAATGCCGGCCCGCTCAAAAGGTTTGCAGCGTTGCTTTAGCCTGGGGTATTGCACCGGAGTGGAGTACAGCCACTGGGCGGCAGAGGGTTTAGGCTTAGGGTTTGGGGTGTAGAGTTCAGGGAGTCACCACAAAGCCCAGTACCCCTTAGTTAAGGAATACAGCTTAAATCATATATGAAGCGCTATATAATTCAAGCCATATTCCTTCATGAAGGGGTATTGGGCTCTCTGGGTCTGTGATTTGAGCAGTTGGGTACAGATCTCCGGGAGAGCACAATCCAATACTCTCTGGGTACCCTAACCCCGACCTAAACCCTAAACCCTAACCCCGAAATCACGAAGCCCCGTGGCACCGTCACAAGGTCTTCGAGCTTTGGGTCTAGGGTTTTGCAGGGGTTTAGGGAGGAGAGTTCAAGGTTACCATACCTGCCCTGCGCCCGAAGCCTCCTAACCCCAAGGTCTACATAACCCTTCAAGCCCTGGGACCTTGAATCCGCGGGCTCTAATCCCCAAGTTTCGGCTCTAAGCCCTTCAATTCCTAGGCTCGGACAGCGGAATCGTACCACGCTAACAGACCTTACAATACGGCACCGAGCTTCGGTTCCACCTCCTAGGTTCTCAGGTTCTGTGCTCCGATTTCAATTTTCAGTGTTTTTTTGTAGGGTAGCTTTGAAAAGTCGTTGAAGCCAAACGCCCTAGAACACCAAAGCCACAGACACCGAAACCTGCAAACCCCAAGACCAACCTTAAAGCCCTGAGCACCGCAAACGAGAAACCCTAAACCAATAACTACTGTAGAGTCTAGGCTAGGCTCTGCACCCTAAACCCTCCACCCGACACCCTGAACCTTACCTTGCCGCGGCGCTTGCTTTGGTGACCCCAAACCCTAAAAGCCTTCATACCTCAAAACCCTAAACCCTAAGCCTCCAAGCCTTAATCCCTAAACCTCTAAACCCTCAGACCCAACATCTCTAACCCTGAGCTCAAAAACACCAAGCCCATTCCGCAGATGCGGACAACACTCGCTGCGAGATTTGGAACCGGCGTCTTGACCTGCTAGTTCTGCAAGTCAGGAAGTGTTTAGGGCTACTACAAGGCTTACTGTAAAGCTCACCCTAAGGGTTACTTCAAGGGATACTGTAAGGATGACTCTCAGGGTGACTAGAGTCCGGAAGTTTTTTTGGATTACTCAAGCCTGCAACTCCTTCAAACATGTTTTTGCGGTTCAGGGCCTTTTAAACGTAAACCGGTACACGCTTTTTTCTGTATTCCAGCTTGGGTTCTCGGAAGGCATACCTTCCTTGACGAGCTGATCGCTATGATCTGGCTTTCAACACAAGCCCTAAACCTCGTACTAAAACCTACACCTAAGCCAGGGTTCTATACTAAGGTTTCAGAAAGGTCCTGGGAGGGGAGTCTTGAGTCTGGGGGAATTGGAGAAGTTGTCTGGACCCGAGTGGCACAAAATCATCCAACAAGCACCACATTAGGTCAACCCATGAGCGCCTTCCACTGGGAGCCTACGAGCCACCAAAGGGGCTTCCTAAACCTTAGCTGAGTGGATACACTTTATACGTTTTGGGATAATACCACCCACTATAAAACGAAAAGTGTACACTTTTCGTTGCTTATGAACTTATGAACTCAGCAACTAAGAACCCATAACGCTTCGTATAACTTTAACGACCCTCTTGTAAGGCCCTGTCTGGACCCACCCTAGACTCTAGAATGCTAGTAAGTCCCGTGTTGTATTTGCGCACCTAGAAGCGGCGTATAAACATCGTAACAGACAGGGCTGACTTCTCAATGCACTTGGATTGTGGACCCGAACTCCTTTTCGGATCTTCTGTAGCACAACCTTCACAAAGAGGTCCCCTATTTGTAAGCGTTTTTTGTTGGGCTTTCATGTTTTTGTGGGATAGGAACACTGCTGAACCTGGGCCAACAAACTCGGTTGGGTGCCTTGTGACACTCTTGCCACACAGATTTGATGCGGGCCCAAGTTACCCTAAACCCTAAAGCCGAGACTCCACCCTGCTTGAAGGGGACGGTGGTCAAGGGAACCGCTCATAAGTTGGAGTTTGCTTCGGCTGCGTCGTTAGGGTCTGAGGATGTTATGCTCATAGTTCCCGGTATCAGTTCTCTCCATCCTAGATAAGAAGCGGTAGTTTGCTTGCGGGTGGGTTCTATCCTAGACAGACTGTCATGCGTGTTTTAGTAAAGTTTTCTTTTATAGTCGTAGCCTTACGCCCGAAACCCGTGAAGCTTCCTGTCCTCAACACAGACCCAAGAAGGTTCATTTTGGCCACCCAAACGTAATTAGTCCGAAGCCCCAGGAACTAGTACCTAAGATCCAACATCGTGAACCCTGAGCCCCGAAACCTAAACCCAAAATTCTTAGCACCAGCTAAGAGCCTTGCACCCAAAAGCTTGAAGCTCTGTCAAAACCTATGGTGGTAATCCGAGCCTTAGAGAAGCTCCAAAACGATTTTGAGGACGGTGGGCTACGTGAAGTTGGGGAGTGGCCCCAGCGAGTGCGTGGCACGCCAGGACGCTCCTTCTTGAGTCCCCGGCCCTCAAGAAAAAACAAGCCTCAACCCTTAACCCGTAACCCTAAACCCTACACCCTGATTAAACCCTACACCTTAAACCCTGAACCCGTAACCCAAACACCGCGCAATTTGCGGAGTGGCTTTGTAGGGTTTCGGGCCCAGCAACTCTTGTCGGATTCAAGAGGCTTGGAACTCGAAAGAGGTCTTCGTAGACACTTCGAAGTCTGAAGGCTACATCCCCCTGTTGGGGAGTCCTCCATCCCCAGAAGCAATTCTGAAGGAGCTTTCCTGCTTGGGATGGTCCGGCAAGGACTGCAAGACAGGCTGGAGAGAGATTTGTCAGGTTGTGCTGTCAATGACTGTGAGTAGTAGTATCGTCGTTGTGATTGTTGTTTGTAATTATTCCTCTTCTGATGACGTCTTGTTTGTTGCCGTCGTTGTCTTACGAATGATAACAATAATCATCATCATCGTCGTCATTAGCATCATTAGTTTGTGTGTATGGATCCTGGAGTATCACAGATGTCTTGCTGAGATGCGTTTGTTGGGGTTCAGGCCCATTCGTACAATAGCAATGAGCCAGAAACGCCCAGATGTTCGTCACAATCCTGAACCCAAAACCCTATATCCTATATCCTAAACAAAAAGCTGCTGGGCAAAAAGCCCGAAGCCCAACACGCCGAACCCTAAGCCTCCAAGTAGGCCTTTGGGTTTAGAGATTATAGAGATTCCTGCGATTCAGCGTATTAAGGATTGTGGCGCTTCAGGGCTGTTGTCTTCGGATTCGCGGATTTCACTGATAGTGTCCCACCACCTCCGATACGGCCCCTGAAACATTAAACCCTAAACCGCAGACCCTAAACCCAAAACCCGAACCCTAAACCCCAAACACAGAAGACCCCCAGCCGCATATGGTTTCGGGTCTTTGGTGACTTAGTATGATAGACGATCTGTTATACCATATTACACAACTGCCTTGTTTCTTTTTTCTGGTGGCTTAGCTGCACTCCGAAGGGTTGCTCACTACCACCCTCGTAAGGCTCAGTTGAAGACGGGTTCTTATGACATGCTATAAAAAGATACTATAACATACCGTTATATACTACAAGCGACTAACATGCACTACAGCATACTGTGATCTACTACAATAGACTAAAATGCACTATAACATACTTCTGCTACAGTGGGCTGTAATGCACTATAATCACTATCTATAACATACTATGACAATTTGGAATAGACTGCAATACACTTTACAAGCCCCTAGAACCCCTCCCCCCCCCAAAAGCCCCGATAGAATCTCTACAGAGCGAATCTTCTGAAAGTCATGCTGGGATCCCCAGCAGGATCCGAGCCCTCAAGGCCCCAAGCCCCGAGACCTCATAGGACTCTCTCTAAGGCGCCTCTAGAGTTCCTTTAAAGGGACGCTTGCAGGAACCCTTAAAGGAGCCCTTGTAGTTCCGTTTAGAGGGACCCTTTTAGGAGCTTCTAAACGGCCTTAAGATCCCGAGACGCAGAGGCGTGAAAGACTTCAACGCCTCGGAGCGCGTCAATCGCCTGGTTGCCTCCTGTGGGGCATCCCAGGGTAACTGCGGTTCTATAAACCCTAAGCCCCACAAGAGCTTCCACAACGCTTCTGTTAGGATCTGTTAGGGTTGCATGTAGGGCTTCATAAGGGCATTAGTTCTATGAGGGTACCATACGGGCCCCAACAAGATCATTGACAGGGAGTGGATTAAAGCACAAGTGCTTTTTCAAGGGTATCATCAGGATGCCACAAAGGTCCTAAAAGGGTATTGGTGCAATGGTTCCGCAAGGGTCTTAGCTCGTTAGGATTCAGGTTTTGGTTTCGAGGTCTCAGCAGCTGGGACTGGTATCCCCTTGTAGTCCGCATGTGGCTGCTCTAGCGAAACCCGAAAGGCCCCAGTCCACTGATTCAGGCACCGATATGTGTTTGGGGTCAAGGGGGGTTTAGTTCAGGGGTCTAGGGTTGAGGGTTCTTGAAGTGTTGTTTTTTCCATAAAGGTTTCGAGTTGAGGGTTCAGGTTTACTGTCTTCGGAATGTCTAGGTGTGGATCCTCCGGCTTGGTTTGAAAAGGGTTTGCAAAGGCTTTACACAAGGGTCTAGAGTCCAGGGCTTGGGAGTTTCGGGGCTTGCGGGCTCACTTTTGGACTTTGAGCTGCAAGTGTGAGGTGTATGCTGACGGCAGTATCTAGGCTTCAAGGCTTCAGAATGCTTGTCCAATGAGAAACTTTGCTTGATAACACAATGAACGTACGTACGATGACAGGTACGTGTAACCAAATAGACGGAGAACAGAAATACAAGTAAAAGGATGAACGACACGAATGAATTAATGATTGAGTGAACATATATATATATATATACATATACACACACACACACGCGTATAAAGATGCAAGCGTATGTGTGCATGCACAGGTAGTATAGGTAAGCACACACATACGTATTTGCGTTTGTATATTATACACATATATATATATATATACACACACACACACTAGGATTCTGGCGTGTATGCAGACATGAGTCTGAGTCGCAGAAGGCTTCAGATGACTTGTTCGCTTTTTCATCCCAGGAATCTTCAGATAAGCTTTAGGGTTTCGGAGTTTTTTGCATGTATTACAAGTATCATGAGGAACTCTAAGAATAACCTCCCGTGGTACACACGTCGTTGAGAGCCCAAGACAATCCTTCTAGAGCCTTCCTGCTTGGAAAGACTGCTCGGATAACGAGGATCGCTACCTTCAAGAAGAGAGCATTATCCTAAAATTCAATATGTAAAGACCAGGTGCGACCCCATAAGACAAGGGCCCGTATGGAAGCTGAGAAAATGCCATGCAGAGCCCTGTAGAAAGCCACACACACCAACCCCCAAACCAGAAGCCCTTAACTTTACATCCTAAACCCTAATTTCCTAAACCCCTTATTAAACCCTAAACCCTAAACCCCAAACCCCTAAAACCCTGAACCCCTGAAGCCCAAAAACCCTGAACCCAAGAGCACCTTCAGAGCCCCCCCAAGCCGTGCCCAGGTCCTCAGGCCTGCGCCGATGTGGAACCTGTCTGCCCCAACAATGCGAGTCTCAGGAATACTCACATCGGAGGCCCGTTGGCTCCGTTTTGGGCCTTGAAGCTCAGGGTTCTGGTTTGGGGTTCTGGGGGTTTGGGGTTTAGGGGCTTGGGGGTTTCTGCTTGCAAAGCCCCATTTTTGGGCTTCAACCATGCTTTGGGGAATGTGGTTGGGTGTGCCTGAAGGAGCGCGGCTTGCCAGCACGGCCATAGGTATGGTAATCCGGCTTGGGTACTTAAAGCTCAACTTGCCTGGCACTTTATAAGTCTGATTCTTCAACTGGGTCAAAAACCCTAAACCCTAAGCCCTAAACAGTAATAGAGACCTTGTAGAACTTTTGAGAGGGGCCCTCATAGAACCCTCAGGCCCGAAACCCTGGAGCCCCAAATCCTATGGATATTGGACATATGATACATGAGAACCTTGAACCGTTCTGAAAGCAGATAAAACACAGAAAAGAATCATTAAGGCCTCAGTGAAGCCTGTGAATCTTTTGACAACTTCTTGCTAACTAATTTTCACCAAAGCCTCATTATTCTTCGTACCAAGGCATCTGTCTTTGGAGTCCCTGTTGGAAATCTTGCAAAAACCTGACGAAACCCTTGAAACCCTCAAAGCCCTTGCTCCTGACTATCAAAGCTTTTATGGATCCGTTGAAAAAGCCTTCATGGAAGCAGATCACGAAGGATGAACCTAAACTGCCAACCCTAGATCCTAGCTCCTAGCGCAGACCCCAGATGAACAAGCCCCTGTTTGCATTAAAATCCCTGAGAAGTGGAGGGAGCTCGTTCATCAGAAGTTGACACTATTGAAACTGTTGAGGCCGCTATACTAAAGCCCTCATGACAACCCTTTATGGAAACGTTGAGAAGGAATCTTAACGGGAGTTACAGTATAACGTCCCCCAAAACCCTATTCTAATCATTAACGCCCCTATTCCAGAACCCTCAGAAATCTTCAACAGAGTCTTAACAGGAATTCTCAACCCTAAACCCTATCCTATTCTGATTATTGAGGCCGATCGAATAGTTCCTTCCCGGGACCCAGAGAGCCCAATACCCCTGAATTAAGGAATTTAGCTTAAATCATAATATGAAGCTCTCTTTTGTTTAAGCCATATTCCTTAATTAAGGGGAATTGGGCTTTTTGGGGAGGCCTCTACCTGAGCACCGCCGGAGCGCGCTACGAGTCGCAGCTTTCCCAGCGCCTCGGGCAACAACGCACGGCTTAGGCCTTGGGATGTTTAGGGCTTTGGGTTTAGGGTTTAGAGTTTTGAGTGTAGGGCTTGGGTTGTTCGGTTTGTGGTTACATTTCGTTCTTTTGTTTTTTGGGTTTTGAGTTTGTTATATAAGAACTATGACGGGCATAGGACTTCTAGGATAGGTAGAAGAGGGTTTTGGAGTATGTTAGACAGGCTATGGGGACTGTAAGTGGAAACTTTGGCTCCGAACGCGCAAAGCCGAGAACATCCAATCAGGTACGATGCCCTAAACCCTAAACCCTAAACCCCTAAACCCTAAACCCTAAACCGTAAGCCGACCCTAAAGCCGAAACCCAGGTACAATACCGGCTTCAACATGTTCTTCAACCTCCGTGGAGATATGAACGCCGCCATAGGCTGCTTCTTGGGACTTCCGTCTCTGGGGTTTTCGGGCAGAGGGTTTAGAGTTTTGGGGTATAGGGTATGGGGTTTAGGGTGTAGGGTGTGGGGTTTAGGATTTCAGAATTTCACTCTGATTTGGCATCAAGTTTTGGATTCCCAATTCCAGAATCGCAACACCCGCGCCCTGAAGTCCCGAAACCCTCGAGCCAGCAAGATACCTCGACTAGTACGACCAGGGCAGAGAGGCAGTTTTTGCCGGAGTGTCCTTGCGTGTCTGTTAGTTATTCCCCATCCCACTGAATCTAACTAATCCTCGCCAGAATCCGGTTAGATGCTTGCAGTAACCCCTAAGCCAGTAAACCCTCAACCAGCCAACCCTAAACCCCCAAGCCCTGAACCCTGAACCCCTAAACCCCTAAACCCGAAACCCAAATGCCACAGTCGGTGTGGATGGTGGCGGCGGGCAAGTGGGGGATTCTCCCGCTGACGCAGATGTTGTGTTATGTTCGTTTATTTGCGTGTGATTATGCATTTTTTTGCATGTTTGTGTGTGTGTGTGTGTGTGTGAGCTTGTGCGGGTCTGGCAATCCAGGCATAAGTTCGCTCTCTCGCGCTCTGCGCTCTCGCGCTCTCGCGCTCTCGCGCTCTTGCGCTCTTGCGCTCTCGCACTCTCGCACTCTCGCACTCTCGCACTCTCGCACTCTCGCACTCTCGCACTCTCGCACTCTCGCACCGTCACCCTCACCCTCACCCTCACCCTCACCCTCACCCTCACCCTCACCCTCACCCTCACCCTCGCGCTCACCCTCGCGCTCACCCTCGCGCTCACCCTCACCCTCACCCTCACCCTCACCCTCACCCTCACCCTCACCCTCACCCTCACCCTCACCCTCACCCTCACCCTCACCCTCACCCCTCCCTCCCACCCTCACCCTCTCGCTCACCCTCTCGCTCACCCTCTCGCTCACCCTCACTCTCACCCTCACCCGCACCCTCACCCTCACCCTCACCCTAACGCTCACGCTCATGCTCACTCTCGCTCTCACTCTCACTCTCACTCTCACTCACACCCCCTCTTTCTAAGCCGGCTCGAGCGAGAGCCAAAGACTAATTTTGTTCGTTGCGCGTTTTGAATATAATCCTCTTCCGATGTTGCTTGCAGGTGATGGTGCCTCCTTCCTGTGGGCCCCATCGCGATTGGGGCCCACCTCGCACATGACATGGAGACCGAGGTCTCGAAAGCCGTTGCTCGGGAAAGCTGGGGACGAAGATCTCGGGCTTGGCAAGAAGCCCCACTCTATCCCGTGGCTGCAATGCATGCACGCAGAGTCAGAATGCGCCAGCCGCATCCATCGGTTCCCACCTTAACTTAACACACCCCGAACTCCTGAACCACCCCCCCCCTCACAAGATCGACCCTATCAAGGTGATTCAAGGTGTGTCCGATCGGGATGCAAGCTTTGTTTGTTTCCCGCCCGGCCTCATGTAGCTACGAAGCTTGAGACTAGACGCTTGCATGACGCCGTGAGCGCACCACTGAGGCCATCTCAACCTTTTATCCCGTAAAAAGCGTGGGGAACTCAGCGCGCCGCGACTGGCTTTGCCGTTGCAGCTGCGCTGAACGGGGGTGCCAAAGGGGGGTCTAAGTTTTTCTAAAGTCTAAAGCTGCCAAAGCTGGTGACCATGTGGTTCAGGTCTTCATTGAAGCCTTGGGCTCGGATTGAGTGATGATTGTTTCCGTGGAAAGCTGCGCCTGCACTTTGACGCAGGCTGTGGATCGGCATGGAGGGACAAGTTTACAGTGAATTTCGACGCATTTCGTACTGTGATCGAAATCGCAATCCGCAACAGCGGATACGGATTGACCAGCATCGGGAATCTCGCTATCAGCTTTTTCTCGGACATGGTGATCCATGCGATTCGTGACGCAACAATGGCCATCATGGGCAAAGATTATGTGTCGTGCTACGAAGAGTACATTGAAACCTTAGATCGTCGACAAAGAGATTGAGAAGATGGATGCGGAGTGCAGAGGAGGCCTGCCAAATCCGCACGCTGTCGATTTGATCAACGAGAGGGAGATGGCGTCGGGCGAAGGGGACGATAGTCTGCGTATGTGTGCCGAAAGATATGTCCGCACGCAGGACTGCCAGATGCCACGATGGCAGAATGCCATAGTAAGTTGGGGTATTGCATGGGCTACCTCAACATGCAGGCGGGGCTCGTACTCGAGCCGCAAAGCAGAGCGGGGAGGGTAGGTTTTGATAAGTACATCGAAACCTATGGGTGCATAGAGCTTGTGTCCAAGATTTTCAACATTACACCGTACTCACAGCTCGTGGTCTCTTTCCCGAAACTTCGGAAGACCTTCTTTCCAGCGTCCGTGAGGTTCAGTGTTGAAGACGAATTCAATTATGCCAGTGCAGGCAAACAGCTGAGCATAATGAATATTTGCACAAAGTGCCCCCTCCAAATCCAATTTTAAGCTATGCCGTTCCATTTTATCAATCTTCTCCCGCCATTGCCGCGACTGGTGGGAGTATAAGATGCTAAACCTTGTGGAGGATGAGGAAATCGAATCTCCAACATTCGGGAAAGCGTACGAAGTTCTACAGGACAAGCACGCACATTGCCGGCTGGTGTTTAGGGTTTAGAAGTGGAGGGATGGTCTTGGCAGGTACATGGACATGGTGGTAGAAGACAAGGGTCCTTTCTAAGCTCCTGATGAATTCGTTTTTGGGATTGCCCAAATGAGGCTGGCTAGATGCTCCCTACATTAGTCTACGCAGAGCGTCTCCGTAGCAAGCAGGCGCGCAGCAACCTTCAACTGTAGACCTTAAACGCAGAACCCTCACCAAACTTGGAAATTATATAACTGTCGAACCACCCAAACGCACATCTCTACCACGAGGTCGTGGAGAGGAGAGCGCAGCAGCCTGTGCCCTTCCCGATGGCCATGAAGGCACGAGTTTCCGGAATTTCCGAGATCCTTACCTCGGAAGGCATGTCACGCACGGTTTGGCTTCATCGGGTGATTCTGATGCTTCAGGACCCCAACACCGGCATGCCGCAAGGCTGCCAGGCAGCATAGTGGCGAGATGCCGACGAAGGTAGTTCGCATAGTGAGGTTGCCAGGGCCCGTGTCAGGGGGAAATTCTGAGAGAGTGAAAGCACTGTGTCGGTTCCGCCGGTTTGCCATGCCGAAATCCATCGCGGGCAGTCTTTGTGAACGGATTTGGGTCCGGTTTGCAGAGCGAGGTGTTGAAGCTGGTAAACTGGTAAACATGCTCGCTCACTCAGGATTTGCTCACCCAATGGCCTTTCCTGGAATGGTGCCAGATGCCGCGATGCCGCAAGGCTGCCAGGCAGCATAGTGGCGAGATGCCGACGAAGGTAGTTCGCATAGTGTGGTTGCCAGGGGGCAACATGGAGAACGCGTGATGCAAGCCGGTGAGGGTTGTGCTTTTCCTTGGCTGCATGGCCGTTGGTGACTGGCAAAGGGCATTGACGTGTCGTGGGCCGGTCCTCCTGGCCGTTGTGGCCTTTCGTTTGTAGAACCAGATCTGCGGAAAAAATTAGCTCAAAAAGAAAACTTAAACCCTAAATCCCTAAATCCCTAAACCCTAAACACTAAACACTCCAGAAATACATGAACAGAAATTGCTTGTCGTTGCTGGCGTTGAGCGCCCTAAACCGTCACTTTCAAGCCCAACACAGCGAAACCAGTTTCCAGTGACAAAACTCCTCCAATGTCAAATCAGGTTCCAGGTAGAAAACTCTGCAAAATCCAGCCCAGCCCAGCCCACACCCCAAGAACCAGAGGCCACGACCAGCCCCACCGGCCAGCCCAGCAACAAAGTTTCCAAAATCAAGTTTCAATCAGGAAACCTAGCAAAACTTTCGCTCAAAACTTTCGCTCAAATCTTTCGCCCAAAATTTTCGCTCAAAACGTTTGGCACCCAAACCCTTAACAATTTCTATCCCCCTAGCCCAAGACCAAATCCAAAATGTGGTTCCAACAAAGAAAACCTGTTCAAAACTTTTCGCAAAAAATTTCGCTCAAGGCGTTTCGCTCAAAAGTTTCGTGTTTTCTCGAGCAAATGCTGGCAATGTCGAGAAACCGTGCGCGTTGGGCGAGGAGGCAGCCCAGCACAACCCCGAGCCCTCAGCCCCCAGTTCCCAGCCCCAAGCCCAAGCCCAAATCCAAAATGTGGTTCCAACAAAGAAAACCTGCTCAAAACTTTTCGCAAAAACTTTCGCTCAAAACTTTCACTCGAAACGTTTTTGGCACCCAAACCCTCAACAATTTCTGTAAACCCTAATCCCCATACCCTAAACTCCAGACCCAAACCCTACATAAACGACAAGTCGCCGCAGGGTTCAGGGCATGGGCTTTCTTTTGACCAGGGCCTCTGGACGTCACCGCCATCTCTGGAGACGGAACCAAGGAGGACGGAAGCCAATCAACCCTAATACAGCGGCCTCAATAATTACCGAGACCATCGTGGGGGTTCCTCATTATGATTCTTGTATACTGTAATAGGCCCCAAAAACGCTATTCCAATTCCTCAGGCCCCTATATTGCACCGCAACCTTTGCAGACGGGTTTTGCCCTAAGCTCTAAAATTCGAACTCCGAGCCGAAACCCCTGAATCCTTGTCGCGGAGCGCTCCTTCGTCTTGTCTTTGTCATTGTAGAGGTAAGAGAAGTAAGCGGTTCGAGGTAATGATGGTAGTGATGATGATGATGACGATGGCGATGACGATGGCTCTGATGATTAGTTCTTGATGATGATGATGATAGCGAAAATTATGGATGAACTGGCCACACCAGTCATGGCAGTTTTCCGGAAGCACAGTCAGAATCACATGTGCATGTACGTACGTACATACAATTGCGTAGAATATGTACCGTATACCTACAGAATTCCCACCCTATACCTACCTACTTACTTACCCACCTACCCGCGTACCCGCCTACTCACCAACCCACCTACCCACCTACGCACGTACCCACTTACCTTCCTGCTCTGAAGCCTAAGGAACGTTGCTAATGCATACTAATGCGATTGCCAGGTCTCGTGATCCTTCCCCGAAGAGCCAGCGCAATGAGCTAAATTCCGAGAACGGACCTCCAGCACCACGAGAGGGCAGGTAAGGGTTGAACCGAAACCGCTAGACATGTTTTTAGGGTACTTGGAAACAGTTTGGGTTTTTGGCTACTATAATGTGGGTGTCGGTTTAATAGTGGGGTACCCCCCCCCCCCCCCCCCCCCCCGACCAAAAATAAAAATTGACTTTAGTATGGCGCCGGTGACGCCGGACAGGGGTCAGGGGTCTGAGTGGCAGGGAATTGGGAGGTGCCGGGGTTTGGGGGGTTGGCTTGGGTGCAGGGTCTGCGGTTCTGCGCGAATGCGCGGTCGGGGGTCGTGGGGGTCTGGGGATCACCAAATGCTGGAAACCAAGCCCCGATCACTCCAAGACTACAACCAAGACTGAAAACCCTTCATTTTGAACACTTTTGCCTCCGTAACCTACAGTCTCACACACTCCCACCCACAATCGACCACGTCTGAAGCTTGGTGCGGTACAATAATAGTACAGTAGTACAATAGTAGTACAGTAGAAATAATACAGTAGTAGTACAATAGTAGTACAATTAAAGTGCAGTAGTACAATAGTAATACAACCGTAGTACAGTGGTAGTACAATAGTAGTACAGTAGTAGTACAATAATAGTACAGTAGTGCAATAGTAGCACAATAGTAGTACAGTAGTTGTACAGTAGTAGTACGATAATAGTACCGTAATACAATAGTAGTACAGTAGTAGTACAGTAGTAGTACAAGAATAGTGCAGTAGTACAATAGTAACACAACAGTAGTACAGTGGTAGTACAATAGTAGTACAGTAGTAGTACAATAATAGTACAGTAGTACGCTAGTACAACAATAGTAGTACAGTAGTAGTACAGTAGTAGTACGATTATAGTACCGTAGTACAATAGTAGTACAGTAGTAGTACACTAGTAGTGCAGTAGTACAAAAGTAATACAACAGTAGTACAGTGGTAGTACAATAGTAGTACAGTAGTAATACGATAGTAGTACAGTAGTACAATAGTAGTACAGTAATAGTACAGTGGTAGTACAATAGTAGTACAGTAGTACACTAGTAGTACAGTAGTAGTACAACAGTAGTACAGTAGTACAGTAGTAATACAGTAATAGTACAGAAATAATACCAATAAGAAAAGCATAAAGCCAGTGAGCACATTCCCCCAATAAGCAAAGCATAAAGCCAGCGCCTGAAACCCTAAACCCTAAACCCTGAACCCTAAACCCTAACAAACCCTAAACCCTAACGAATCCTAAACTCCTAAACCCTAACAAACCCTAAACCCTAAGCCTTAAACCCTTCCCAAAGGGGGGTCGGTCCAGATTGGACCCAAAATTGAATTTTTTATACAAACTTTAGTACTGGAGAGGCCTCTTTTGAGCTGGAGTACAATAGTAGTACAGTAGTAGTACAGAGTCCCTTCCTGACGCCCCAATAAGCGAAACAATTCTGCAAGAGATTTTCGGGCTTCAAGGCCAGGGTTTTAGGGTTGGGTGGGGGTTTGGGTGGGGGTTTAGGTCGTGGCTGCCTTAAGATTGACCATCAGCAAATAGCACAGCCCCGCCACCAAAAAATCACCCCAGCCAAAAAACAAACGCATTAATTAGAACACCCAAATTTTTTGTCAGATTCGGAATTAGCCCCGGAGCCGACGCATTAAAGGGGACTATATTCCAAAACCGACACCCACATTAAGCCCTAAAAAACAATATATAGTATAGTACAGTATCGTGTAGTATAGTATGGTATAGTATCGAGGAGTTGAGCACCAGGGCCAGGTATTTGGCCAACAGGCGGGTACGGAGGGTTCAGGGTTTAGGCTCGGTTGAGGGACAGGATTGGAGTTTTGTCTTAATGTAGGAACCTGATTAAGAAACCCTGGCCCTACAACCCCAATATATTAGGATTCATATAAGGAACCCTAATACAGACCCAAGGTTTCTTAATCAGCTCGGGGTGGTGGAGGTTGTCCGGCTAGGCTTCCGCACTGATCCTGACACCGCAACCCTAAACTTACCTTTGGTTTGTAGGGAATGGCGGAATGGGATACAATTAGAACTACTATTACTACCATTGTTCCATTCCCTTCTAACCAAAGGTAACATCTTTAAACTTGCGCCCTATACGATGAATCCCATGTCAAAATAGCTTTGAAAAGCCGCTAAAGCATAAACGCCTACAGTTTGACAGCATGTTTAAGCGCCCCAGGTTTAGGGCTTCGACGGCTTATTGTTTTTTTTTGTGATTGAGGGGTCTGTGGTTTAGGGTTTTGGGTTCTGGTCCCGGGCCCAAGGTGCTTTAGCGATGAGAGGGGTTGTAGGGATTCGGGTCTAGCATTGGGCTACACAGACACTGAATTTTGGTGTTTCGGGTGTAAGGGTAGGGCTTAACAAGGCATGCATAAATCGTGCATTCAAACTCGCGCGCTTGTAAGCCCCAAGCAATCTAAGGAAGGCTCTTTGAACATCCTCTGCCCAAGAAACCTTTGGTCCTAAACCCTGGACCCGAAACGTCCGATAAGCCCGAAACCCCAATGTAGGAACCTGATTAAGAAACCCTGGGCTTGTAACCCCGAAATAGTAGGATTCATATAAGGAACCCTTATAAAGGCCCAAGGCTTCTTAATCAGGTTCCTACATTACCCCCCACAAGTTCCATATTTATCCACATCTTACGCCAGCCCGAGACCGAACCTGCCTGCAGGGTGGGTGCCAAGCTTCTTCTCGGCCCCTACGGCGACGAGGCCTTCGAGACCGTGGTGGCCTGGCATCTTGAAGGGTACCTTCAAGGGTTCCTTCAACTTAGGGGTACTTAGAAATACATTTTAATTTTTGGTTATTATAATCCCTAAGAAACAGCTAAAATTGTAGTTTTGGCCAGGGTTCTAAGGTCGGTATAGTTAAGGATGCCTGTAAGGCTTCCTTTCAGAATTGCCTATAAGGGTTGTTGGTTTATGTGATGGGGTCCAGGGAGTTTAGGGTTGGACCCGAAGCCCTGGACGTTAGACCCGAAACGGTTTGGGTTCAGGGAGTTTCCGGCCGGGGTAGGATGTAGGCGGTTTTGGGCTTGGCATCGCCGTTTTTGAGTCGTTTGGGGGGTGATGTGTGCCCCTTCGGCGACCGCGGGATCAAATCGCAGGGTGCCTTGAGAAGAGGCTTGCAAGTAGGCGTCCCCCGCGACGAACCCTAATGCACCTAAACCCGAGAAAACACGAGCACCTCCGACCGGCTCTTCAAAATTCTCTGGAAACCAGCGAATTATACTGAATCATGCTATTTCTAGGAATAACGCTCGCCAAAGCCGCAGGATATCCGGCCCTACACGCGAAGAAAACCTCAAAATCCCAGATCGAAGCCTCGCCTCAGTTCAGCTTCCGAAAGCCCCTGACCGCTCAAGAAAGCAACGCACCTTCGAGGGTTTAGGGTTCAGGGTGTAGGCCTTGGCGGTTGAGGGTTTAGGGTTTTGGAGGTGAGTTTACGGCATATGATCAACACTTGAAACTCTATCCACCAACCTGATAGGGGACCCCAATGTAGTAGCCTATATAGTAGGATCCTTATTATAAGGGACACCAAAACGAGGCACCCCTACTTGCGGGTCACGGAAGATCCCTCACACAATCCGAGGCAGACGTTGCTGACCAGTCTCAGGCGGTGGACCCGGAAGTAGACCGGGAGCAATGTAGACCTCTAAATTCTTAACCCTTCTCCCTTAACAAGGTTTATCAGAGGGAGCACCTGATATGGCCTATAAGAGAGATCCAAACATGAGGGCTTTTGAAAAGAAGGGGTTCTTTAATCAGGGTTTGCAGACTGGCCATGACAGGGCTTTGCGCCTCCGGGGGGTCGGACTTAGTGGGGTTCAAGATTTCGGAGTTAGGGTTGGGGTTGGGGATGTAGGGTTCAGGGCTATAATATATTTCGAATTTTGATCGCCCTGAAATGCGGAAGTCTTGTTGTATTCCATTATGCGGATAGCGCCGGATTCAGCCTAGCAGCATGGGACTTTTGACGCCTTAGGGCACAGACCCTGAACCCTAAGCCCTATAACGCCGACGCTCTAGATCCTACACCCTAAACCCCAAGCCCCGTCTATAACAGTGATATCTCTGACCCGTTCCATAATGTAGTCTTCAGCGCAGCATACAAGGATCGAATAGTCGTAACGGGCAGATGCAGAGGAATGAACTGCCATACTGGATAGAGACCACAGCGCGAAGGCATTTTCAGAACCATTGGACCCAAAACCCTGGTAAAGGAATTCTAGGACCACATTTAGTATATGCTTCAATAAATCGAAACCTGAAGAGTGCCTTTGAGCGAGCGCCGAAGCGCGCTACCGAAAAGCGCGCAGGGCACTAGCAAAAAAAACCCAAGCCCTTGCGCTTGGTAGGCTTATTATCGGAGTCTGTATTTAGTGTCGTAGCAGATTTCGGAGGACCTGAAGACTTGTTTGAGGTGTCTTAGGGGTTTAGGGCTAATTAAGGGCTTTGGGTTTAGTGTTTAGGGCGTAGAGGTATCGGTTCAGGGTTCAGGGTAGGTTTGAGCTTTCGACCCAGGTTGTCCTTCGTTGTCGGATGTTTCATGGATCTTGTTTCATGTAGTTTGGCTCCTTTACGGTATAGCAGGTTTATATGAGACGCATCATATCGATTTTGTGCTTCGGGGTAGAGTTTCAATTTTGGCTTCCTGTCGTCTACTGAGACCTCAAACCCCAACGCTTTTGGTGGCTGAGCCCTTGTGAAGAAGGTCAGAAGTGTCGAGTTTCAGGCATACTGCAATTGCTTGATGAGTTTGTTCTGCTTTCGGAACCGGAAGCACCTACTCAGAGGATAAAGGCATTCATACTGCACCGCTCAGCTTTGCTTGGAGGATCAGGAAATGAGGTGGAAAGTTTATTTTGTCAATTCACCCGATATCGAACGTACTTGCTGGGCTGCTGGGTGCCTGGATTCTTCAGCACTGCGCTAGACTCCTGGATCCCTGTGCATACAATCGTCGCGCTCCCACATCGAAATGTCCCATCAAGCCCTAGATCCCCAGCTATAAAGTCCGAAGAACTTCATATCTCTAACCTCACAAGGCCGCCATAGCCCTAAGCCCTAAGCCCTAAACCCTAAGCCCTAAGCCCCAAACCCTAAACCCTAAACCCCAAACCCTAAACCCTAAACCGCCCACCGACCTTGTGACCCACCCTGGAGAAGCCTTGCCCTGCCCAGGCGGTTCTCGTTGGTCCCATTGCCAAGGCCCAGTTCGGAGCTTTGAAGCCCCTAGCTATGGGCCTTTGTGAGGGTTTTAGGGTTTAGGGTTTGGGATGTTATTTCCATTTTGCAGGTCGCCAAGTAAGTTTTTGTACAAGTTTTTTACACAAATGTAGGTGCTTTTGGCGTACTTGGAGTCCTATTGTTATTCTTATGGCACATTAGACCCTGAACCCCAAATCCTAAACCCCTTAAGTGAAGCTCCTTAGCGCGAGCCCAAGGAAGGTCTAAGGGCCGCAGCTCCTTCCAGGGTTGGGTGCTCGGGGACTGGACTTTGCAGTTCGAGAAGGCTTCTGTCGCTCACGGGAGGGACATCGCACAGTTCCCAACATGGGAAATAACGGGTTCGAGAAAGGGCTTTTTCAGGGTTCTTGAACGGGTTCTCCTGGGCCATAGGAAGCCTCCAAAAGGTTTCGCCCCCCCCACAGCATAGCGTGGGTCATCAGCAAGCCCGAAGCTCAAGGCTTAGCGTTTCTGATGCCCAGCAGCCATGCGCCCGCAGCCGCCCAAGCCTTGGACCCTTAATCCAGGGGGATGATGCCGTCATGGGGCGACCGAACGCCTTCAGCATGTCCAGTTGGGGGCCCAAGCTTCCGGCCTGCATTCTCTTTGGTGAAAGGCTTTCGACCGCGTCAGTCCGATCTGCATGCCGCGATGTTAATCTTCATAATGGTTCTGTCGTGTTTATGTGTAACTGGCTGTGCATCGTGCGAGGGACTGGCAGTGTTCAGCTGAGTCGAGACGTAAGGGGGGGAGGAACTGGACGTAAGAAGAGGGTCGGAAGAACTTCAAATAGTGTTCGTGCATAGTCTCTATGATCCCGAGTCTAATAGTAAGGTCATAAGAACCCTTAGGGAGGTAGGGAGGGGGGTGGGTGGCCTTAATACCTATAGGGCTTAACAAGGCCTATTCAAAGAAGTATAGTCCCCCACCCGCCTCCCCCTAACCCCCCTACGGGTGCCTACGATAAGGGCCCCCATGTGGTTGTTAGTTGGGTTGCCTCCCCGGCCGGTGGCTCAGACTCAGCCTCGCACATGCCCCGATGCCCAAGGCCGGTACGACGAGTTCCTGCTTCCGGCCTTCCAGCAGATTGCGCAGCATCTGCCACCCTGCCAGAGTTCCGATTAAATCTGCAAGCAGTGCTAAGTCGAAGTTCCGGGTTTTGGCAGGTTTTGAGGGACTGTAAGGTAGGGGGTTTCGGAGTCGTTTGATTTTTTGGGTGTTGTTTTGGGGCTTCGTAGGCTTTTATGCTTCAGGCGGATAGGGCTTCAGGCATTGAAGGCGAAAGGTTTGGGGTTCAGGGTTCTTGAAAGAGTGGGCCTAGTTTCGCAGTTTTGGGTCAGGTCCCTGGTCTGGTCTTCTGGCTTGGTCTTGTGGTTTCGGGTTTGGGCTTGAGTTTTCGTTTCATGGTATTGGCAGTCTTTCGCATTCTTTGGTCATGGTGGCCGTGATGCCCCTGGTGGTGATGATGATGATGATGATGGTGATGGCGATGTTGCTGTGATTATGGCGCTTGTGCTTGTTGCTGCTGCTGTTGCTGCTGCGCCTGCTGCTGACGATGATGACCAGAAGAAGATGATGATGATGGCGACGATGATGGTGATGAAGCCGATGCTGATATTGATGACGACTGCGGCAGCCCTGCATGTGATAGTATTGTTCATGACCAACAGATCCTGATGTTGCAATGTGTTGGCGGCGGCGGCGCTTGTTGTCATGTTGATGTTTATAGCGATTCTGGTCATGGTACCAGAACAAATTCAGATTTGGGTGTATTTGGGGTAAATGGATCAGGATTCAGCCTCGACTCTGAACCCTGAACGCCTAACGTAGGCCCTCAATCAGTAAGCTTACCTTTCCTTGGTAGGCATGGCATGGCCCTAAACCCTAGGCCCTAAGCCCGAAACCATGGGCAATGCTGATACTTTGACAGCTTAATCAGGTAAGCCGCACAAAATAGGCCGGAAGATCGCTAAAGCTTCAGAAACCTTGCTTGGAGGTTTCATGGGTGGTTATGAGTGGAGTATAAGTAAGGCAACTCAATTATAACTCCTTTTTAGGGGACTTATAACCCCACATATAACTAGCCATGAACCTCCAAGTACAGAATCTAAAGAGACTAGAATTCCTCAAACCCTCGGTGCAACATTCTATCCGAATGCCGTGCGTCTGTGGACCTTGAATAATCAGGAATACTATGGCGTAGGGCTCCCGCTAAAGTACCTTACTATTGCGCGCTTATATAGCCGTGAGAGAAGTCGAGTAAAGGACCTTTCAAGAACCTTCTTGTGGAGCCCGCCGTTACAGAGTTCAAGTATAGGACCCCAATCGAACGTCTAAAGAGCATCGCTGTGTGCCCTTATTGGCCCCTTACACAGCCGTACACAAAGATCCCGGCTATAGAACCCCAGTATCGGCATCCACTCCATTACAGAACCCTTAGGGGACACCATTAGAATTCCCGGAGCCCTAAACCACCGATTTCCTAAACCCTCAACCCTAAGCCCCGAACCCCTAAACGCCTAAACCCTACACTACACCCTAAACCCCTAAACCTCTACACCCCCAAAACCCCTAAACTCTAAACCCCAACCCCCCCTCCCCTCTTGTGAATGCCATGAGGCGAGCCACCGTCAGCGTCATCGGGCCGAGCCACGAGCGAGCCGACCTCCTGGGTTTGGAGATGAAGTACAGGACTCCGCTTTTTGTTTTAAACGGGTTTAGGATTGCAGGGTTTGAGGTTTAGGATTTGGGGTTGGGGTTTAGGGGTTGGGGTGTAGGGTTTGGGGTTTAGGGTTTACAGGGGTTTAGGAGTTTAACAAAAGACAAATCAGCCGGTGGTAGGGGCGCGAGCAGCACTGGAGTTTAGTCGATGGGTTTACCCCGGTTCATGGAAGCGGCACCAACTGTGACAAAAGGCTCTGATGGCTTCGTGGCTTGCAGGGTGTTCTGCTGGAATCCGTAAGGAAGCTGCAGGCCCCTCTTCTTAAACATTCCATCTCCAACCCTCTAACACCCCCCACGACTCCAACATATCAGGTTCTTGTTGGGTTCCAGAAGAGGTTCTATGAAGGTACTGCAGCGCTCAAGGCGAGGGTACTTTGTGGGATCTACGAACCTGAAACCCTAAACTCTGAACCTTTCAACCCCAAAACCGCAACCCTGAACCCCGAAATCCTGAACCCCTAAACCCTAGACTCACAGATCTATGAGCAGGAGGCTAGAACTGAAGCCCCCCTTGTCCGAGCGTATCGACGGGAAACCGCAACCTTGCGTCTTTGCGGAAGGGTGGTATAGCGTCATGAGGGTTACGTTTAGGGGTTCAGGTTTAACACATATATATATATGGAGTGTGTTTTGGGGTTACGGTAGAACACATGTGTAACGAGGGTTTAGGGTTCAGGGTTTAGGGTTCAAGGGTTCTTTGAGGAGGGTTTGGGGTCGGATTCTGGGTTACAAGGTTCAGGTTCAGGCTTACTAGGGATAGTAGGCCGCATAGCGTTTTGTGGTTCATTTCAGCCTAGGCTGTAGGAGTTCGCTTTGTTCGGATTGTTGGATTTGTGGTTTATGGTGCTGACTTCTTAGTCGAGAGTTTGTGGTTCGTGAGTCCCGCTACTTCTAGACTAGGACCTTATTCCCTTTTTAAGGGTTTAGGTTCCCTTCTAGCCCCCTTTAAACCAAAAAGGGCACCCTTGTTCTTCCTAGGTTGCTCTTGGGTCTGGTAGAAGCTTAACCCAACCCCTATGGAGACCACAACACCACCACGCCAACAGAAGCCTGCAGAAGTAGACTCCTTCAGAAGTTTGTGGATGCCTGAAAGACCCTTGAAGGAACCTGCAAAAACTGGTCTAGAAACCCCATAGAAGCAGTGTTGGTCCGTAAACCGTAAACCCTCAACCTTAAACCCCAACAAAAAGCCGTAAACCCCCAACCCAAAACCCCAGACCCAAAAAACAACCCTAAACCCCAAACCCTAAACCCTTAACCCTCATCCCTAAACCCTAAACCCTAAACCCTCAACCCGCATCCCTAAACCCTAAACGTAAACCCTCAACCCTAAACCCTCAACTCTAAACCCTAAACCCTCAACCCTAAACCCTCAACTCTAAAACCCTCAACCTTCAACCCTAAACCCTCACCCCTAAACCCTGAACCCCAAGCCCTAAACCCTCAACCCTAAACCTGATCGAAGCCTTGTCGGTCACAGGACCTGCTCGACGATCCCTGCAACGGCGGAAGCAGCGAACTTGGTCTACTTGGAGAATGTCACCCTTCCGCGAGAAGCTCAGGAAGCCATTGTCGCGGTCACATAGGCTTTATGGGTTCTTTGAGGTTTTACAGAGGTGTTCATAGGGTGTTATGTGTTTTTAGGGGCTTCAGCACTTAGATTCAAGACGTAGGTGTAAGAGTCCTTTATAGGGTTCTATCTGCGTCAGCATTGGAGGATCCTCACATGGGTGGTTGTCAAAATTATGGTCCCTTATTGGGTACCCTAAGTATTAGGTGCCGTACTATATTAGGGACCCAAAAAAAACCTCAATTTTGAAAACCACCCGCATGGACACTCAACCGGGTAAGCCCCTCGTCCCCTGTGGAGCGACACCCTCCGAAGATGCTGAAGCCTTAGGTACCGCCCCCATACAGTAAGAGTCTATAATCGGGCTACTATTAAGGTCCGAAAATAGCTAATATTCTACTATTACTGAGTCGGGGCCGTACCCAACTGAAGCCTATCACTGCGTGGAGATTTTAGAATTTTTGACAGGTTCTGCGGGGGGTTTATGATGTTGAAGTTTTGAGGTGTTTTGGGGTTGTAGGGATATGAAGTTTGGGAAGTCTGGGGTTTCGGGGCTTTGGGGTTTGAGGATTATCGGTCTTGCAGGTTTTGGGCCTTGGGGGCTTTAGGGTTTCATTAAGGAATCTTGAGCTCTGAGCAGGAATCCCAAAAGCCAAAGCCCCAAACCCTGAACCCGAAGATTCGGAGATGAGTAGCACTGCTGTTCTACCCCAAGATGCTGAGGCCCTGCGTGCCTACTTCCCGCCTCAAGATCTTACGTTGTAAGATCCCTTCGGTATACATGAAGTCTTTGACTTGTGCACATATACTAATCTTTTACAAATGCATGTCATGTGCATCAGTCCAAGACGCGACACCTTGAAACTTCAGCGGCAGCATTCGTAGAACGCCAAACAGTGCAACATCTTTTCCCTGTGAAGGGGTCCAGAACATGATTCCAGGGATATTGCTGTGTGAAGGGACATGGGGCTCCGGAGAACCCAATGACCCTTAATTCTGGGATACACTTTTAACTGTATGGGCTTACTAAACCCTAAACCCTAAACCCTAAGATGGTGTTGTTCTTGAATCGACGGGTATTCGGCTCTTTCGGTGTCCGGGAAGGTACACCGCCGATCAGGACCAATGGATAGCGGAGGCACGGGCGGCTTCTGATGCAGAAGCTTTCACCCTAAGCCCTAAACCCCTACAACCCTAAAGACTCATACCGAAATCCCAAAGCGCAAAATTCAAAGACCCACCAACTCCACAAAAACGTAGTGCTGAATTTCCCGGGACGCAAACCGCAACCCCACCCCAAAGTCTCTCATCCTTATCCTTAAACCTCAGCCCCTCAGCCCGAAGCACCTAAACCCTAAAACCCTAGAAGCCCTAACTACTTTTAAGGCTTAAGGTTATAAAAATGATTTAAGTGTTGCTGGCTGTGGGCAGTATTCAAGGTCCTGAAGTGGTTTAGGGTTTAGGGGTTTATGGCCAAGTCCGGGTGTTGGGGCTGTGGAGTTGAGCGTTCGAAGTAGATGGTTTCAGGCTTGGGGGCTGCAGGCCCAGGATTTAAAGAGTTTTCGTGAGTTGGGATTCAAGGTTTAGGGAGGTTACGGTTTTCCGAATATAAAGACTCGTAATGAAAGGTGCTCCTAAGACCGCCTAGATCCCCATCCTAACTACCACTGCCCTAAGCCTGAGCGCTTGGGGTTTATGCCTAACAAGAATGTGTCAACATTAACCCCTCTACAGAACCCCAAAACCCTAGAACCCTAAAACCCTAGAGCCCTAAACCCAAAACCCTAAACCCTAAAACCCTAAAGCCCTAAACCCAAAACCCGAAACCCTAAAGCCCTGAACCCAAAACCCTAAACCCTAACCCCGAAACCCTTATGGAGCCCTCTCGGCTCAGCTTTGGCCTGGCTTCTGGCTTGCGGTGAGCGCGACCTGTAAAGCACACCCTGAGCCCGAAGCCCCCTGAGAGTCTTGAAGGGTTCCTTCACGGTAAGGGTTCCTTTAAGGCAAGGGTTCCTTTAAGGTAAGGGTTCCTTTAAGGTAAGGGCTCCTTTAAGGCAAGGGTTCCTTTAAGGCAAGGGTTCCTTTAAGGTAAGGGTTCCTTTAAGGTAAGGGTTCCTTTAAGGTAAGGGTTCCTTTAAGAGAAGGGTTCCTTTACGGTAAGGTTCCGTTTCAAAGGGTTCCTTTGTTGGTTCCTTTACGGGCTCCTTTGAAGGAGCCCCCTAAACTAAACCTTGAACGGAACCCTTTACAAGATCCCTCGTTGGGTTATTCTCCAGTAAGGGCCCATCTTAAGTTTCCAAAGTAGTACGGCACCCTTATAACGACGACCCTAGAGGGGACCCTAATTCAGGCCCTAAGACCTGACACCCTAAACCCCTAAGACTAAACCCTTAAACCCTACGAGCATTGTCATTCTTGTTGCTGTAGCTCTTACTGTTTCTATTCTTCTTTGAAGTTGTGCTGCTTCTCGTGTTTTATGTTCCCTAAACCCTAAATCCAAAGCCGAAACTCTGAACCCTAAACCCTAAAGTTCCCTAAACTCTTGTTTACAGGGTGTTCCTTTCGAGTTTGGGGGTTTGTTAGAGGGTTGCAGTAGGTGTCTTTTCAGGGTTTTCCGAGATGGAATGTTTATCTTCGTTAAGGGTTGCGGCATCAGGTTCTTGCTGGGTTCCAGAAGAGGTTCTATAAAGGTGCTACATTGCTAAAGACTAGGGTACTTGCAGGATCTATGAACCCCGAAACCCTAAACCTAGGCCCTGTATACACGCTGAACGTGCAGCGTCCCTCCTTCGGGAGGACAGAAGAGCCATCTCCCTCTGTCAGTGCTCGCCGGGTCTCCCGCGCGAGACGATTCGGTCTCTTAGGGTTCTTAGCACTCCCTGGTTCTGTTCTTAGTGGGGAATGGGGGAATGGACTATGGAGACCTACTATTGGGGGATTATATAGGGACTACTATAGGGATCCATTCCCCCATTCCCTACTGAGCACCAGACAGTACCTCGCATCCCGGGGTTTCCCAAATGGATGGAGTGCATCAGCCGATGGGTAACCTATCGTGTTGAAGTCCAGCCAGAGCGGCTAGTCCAGGCTCTCTGGCAGCTCGGGTGGAGATGAGGAGGCGCAACTCCCAGAGGACTACGATACGTTCTGGCTGCCTCCTCCATGACCTGTGTACTTGTTTGGGACATCTGGGAGCCTTCAACAGGGCTCTGCATGTGAGCAACCCATGTATGGATGCACCACGGAGGGGTCCTAACCCTTACTAAACCCTAAACGCCACACTAATGGGGGCCCTGGGGTTCTGCTACAGAGGTTTCCTCAGCAGTGCAGACGCTTGTCACCCCGCGGCCGGATGTGACCCTCGGACGCAGGGGCACTTTTTAGGGGTTGGGGTTTTAGGGTTTAGGGTTTGGGGCTTTCAGGCCTTAGGGTTTAAGGTTTGGGTTTAGGCCTTATAGGGTTGCCTTACCCAGCCCAACAAAGCTGGTCTAGCTACGATTGAGGGTCTAATCCTTACCCTTAAGCCCGAAATCCCAAGCTCGTAAACCCCTAAACCCCAGACCCCGAAACTCTGAACCCCTCAACGCTCAACCCCAAGCTGCTTCCTTTCGGTCGTCGGGCACAAAGCCGCAGTGGTTCTGCGTCCAGGTTTATTTACATAGGCGCACCGAAATATTTCGAAGACATACGGTCCCCTCGAGCCGAGAGCCCCAATGCCACAGCTTGAAACCCTACCTAATCCATGTCCCCGCGCACCCAAAGCCCTCGACCCCAATGCCTAATTGACCCCAAAATTTCAAACCGTAAAGCCTAAACCCTAAGCCCACGAACCCTAAACTAAGTACTTCCCAAATCCAAAACGAAGCTCTCAACCCGAGCAGGCTCCCAAAGCCGCAAATTGCAAAGCAGCGACACCCTCCCGAAGCTCCTTAGAACACTCTTATAGGACCCTTCTCAGCCCCTCATAGCTTCATCATACGCCCCCAAGTCCCACGCACCAAAACCCCATCCTCTAAACCTAGACACCCCGATCGAAAACCCCAAACCTGTACATGACCAACGCTGCTCTTTGACCTGTATGATCCCGGAAGCCCTTTGTTTCCGTGCTTTTGAGGATCGTTTGTTGCGAAGCGGCTGACAAATGCATCCAAGACATTCTTCAGGCCTTTGAGTGTGTTGGGGTTTAGGGTCTGATTCAGGCAGTTACGAATACCTACGAGGTTTCCAAAAGACGGGTCTTCTTGTAAGGGTTCGAGTTTGCAGTTTTGAGCGCTGATTTCTCAGGTTTTGATGGCTTGGGATTTTATGCTTTCAGGATGTTACATGCAGGGCTCCTGAGTTTCGGGCTCCAGAGTGTTGGGGCTAAGGGTGCTTAGGCTTTGTTGGGCTTTGACGTTCGGGCTTTATGTTAAGGTTTAAGACTGTTGGGTTTGAAGTCGCGGGGCGTAAAATTTGAAGGTCGTAGGGCTTGAGGGCTTTAGGGCTGTAGGGTTCTTGGGTGTTGTTGCCGAGGATGAGATTATCTTAACGTCTGGGGTTTCGGGATTTGAAAGATGACTCCAAGCCCCGAACCCTGAAGCCTACTAGTAGTCGTTTTGGGGTTTGGGATTGAGAATTTGGGCTTCTGACTCCCACTCGTTCGCGATTGCCCTTCCAGAAGCTTTTGAAACCCCTTTGGGGTTTCTGGTTTAGCCCTGATATAGTCTTTTTTGAGCTTAGGGATACCTTCATTAAGGACACTTGCCGCACACTCAAACCCGCCTCAACCCTGTAGAGTACTCAAAGGGCACCTACGAATTCCAACCCTCAAACTAACTCGTTATCCCTAGACTTCAACCTCCAAGCCAGCAAACCAACAACCGAATGCCAGAGAGGACATCCGTGTCAAAGTCTACGACATGAAGGCTTTCATCGTCATGGAGGAGCCGACAGCTCGTGTTGTTTTGGCAGTTGTTACGTGTCGATGCGCTGGGGGTTCAGGTTGAGGGTTTGAGGTTTCGGGTGTGTTACAGGGGTAAGGGTTCACACACATGTGGGTGTATATACATACATATGTAAGCAGACGAAAAACAACTTATAGCTATATGCCAACATGTCAAGGCAATTAAAAACTAAGTAATAGGGGTAGATATACGCGACATTAAATATTTACACGTAATGATACGTATTTGTATGTCTATGTATGTGTGAAACATACGTACCAATCTCCATGCATGTATATGACAGCGTGTATCTCATACACACTATGGTACTTCCCAAGCCGATAGCTGTGTCAAGAGCTGTCTATCTCTCTGTCTGTCTATCTGTCTATCTATCTTAGAGATCGGAATAATTCGCAATTGTATCCCTTTCTAGTAACCCGAATGTATTCTACCAAAATGATATAGCGTACCTGCAAACCCTACCTAAACTATTAAGGCCCCTGAACCCGAAACCCTAAGCCCCCGACCATAGGCACGGCCCAAAAGCGCTTCGGGGGGTAGTGTCGGAATTGGAACTCCCAGATCCTGGATCCAGCTTGCAGCCGGAGAACCCCAACCCTGGGCTATTGCTCAGGAGTTTAGGATTTGGGTTTAGGGTTGAGGTTTAGGGAGTTTAGCTTAAGTTACCAAAGCAAGGAAGCCGCATTACTTGCTATGATCCCCATTCTGGTAGCTTAGCTTAAAGCCTACAACGACATCCTTCATCTCACGCTGAACCCGGAAGCCTATACCCTAAATCCCGTAGACTCCAAAGCCCCCTAAACCCTAAACCCCGAGACCCTAAACCCCAAACCCCACAGCTTACGGTAGCCCTTAGAGGCCTCTTTAAAGCGACTTGAACGTCCCCAAACTGAAGACCCCTTCAGATTTCTCAGCATGGCCCTAGCGATGTGCTGTGCAGGATGAGACGATCAGCGCAGCCTTGCTACTGGGCGCAATAGGATCCCAAAGCTTCAGACCTTGAGCCCAGGTGGTTAGGGTTGTTAAGGTACATCGGGCTTAGGGTTCAGGGTTCAGGGGTTCAGGTTTAGGGTTCAGGGGTTTAGGGTTTAGGGTTTATGCAATCGGTCATGCGGACTGTCACGAAGCGAAACACTTGCCGACTAAATGGATGTTTAGGGTGATCCCAAGACGAGAAGCTTCAAACAGGAGACCTCGAAACAAGAGCGTGGAGCTCTTGTTGTACATTGGTCTGATCAAGTATTTTTTGGTATAGTCTAGTTTAGGTTAAAGTGTAATATGCCCAACCCTGAACCCTATACCCTTGTATGCCCTAAAGATTAAAGTTCATTCTGAGGGCTTTTGGTTTAACAGTCAGAGTTCCGGGCTTCTGGGCCGGATTTCAGGGTTTAGGGTTTAAATTCTCGCTCCTGCGACAAGGTAGATAGATAGACAGATAAAGGGTCATTGTATGTATGTACAGCACAATGCGCACATGCTCTTTTTATACCTATATGCTTTTTGACATATCTGTGTTGCAATGTTGTACTTGTGGTCTACGTGTATATGTTTGCCTACACATTTCTCATTTACCTCCCCTTGACCTTGACATAGAAGCTTGAATGTTTAGGTACTACTGTTGTTAGAAGTCCATATTCTGTTCGTAATATGACAGAAAATTAGACCCAGAACCGCAGTCTAACAGTTAAAGCCCTCAGAATAAATCCTTCACCCTAAACCCATTGACCCTAAACCTTCAAACCTGCAGCTTACAAGCGAGATGAGAACTTAAAGGAAGCCTGCAAGAAATCCTAAGCTTCACAGGAACCCTTGAAGAAACTCGCAAAAGGAATTATGCGGCGCTTCAGCGCATGGACTTCAACCAGATCCTCATCGACGTGTGCCTCGGCACGGTGTCCAACCCGGAACCCTTAAACCCCAAACCTTCAAGCCTGAATCTAGAGCCTCAAAGACCCTTAGCGCCAAAGGTTTGAGGTTTTGGGTGCCTTAGGGAGCTTAGCGGCTAGGGAGTTCCCAACCAAAAGCCTTAAACCCTTTCGCGATGTCTGGGCTTTAGGTTTAGAGTTGCATCGGCGGGGAGGATGGAGGGTGTCCGGTTTTCAGAGATTCCCATGGGTGTAGTGTTGTTTAGAGTTCAGCGTTTAGGGTTTAGAATTTGGGGTTCAGGGTTTGGGGTTCAGGGCAGGTGCTAAGTGCAACAATTGAATTTGCCAAGCTTCCTTGCTCAGGTGTGCAAGAATGAAAGCTAGACCCTCAGCCTGACTGTACGCCCGAAGCTCTTCAGTTCTAAGCCTACACCCCTGAGCCACTTAGGCCCCCAAACGTGAAGGCCCTCGCTGGAAGGAGGAACTTACAGCCTCCAAGGTTAGACGGCATGCAAAGCGCAGGGCAAGAAGGGAAGAACAGCCCAAGGATTCACCCCTAAACCCTAAACCCCTAAAGCCTAAGCCCCTAAGCCCCTAAGCCCCTAAACCCCTAAACCTCTAAACCCTTAAACCCTAAACCCCTAAACCCCAAACCCTAAACCCCTAAACCCCTAAGCCCAAATCCCTAAACCCCACGTTTTTTTCCTCAGCCTCAAGCCCCCATCTCCCACAATAGCTGCGAGAAAGTTTACGCACGCATACCTTAGACTTACCTTTGGTTAGCAGGGAATGGAAGAATGGTAGTAATAGTAGTTACAATTCTACCCTAACCAAAGGTAAGTAGATTGAGGGCGTTTGGGTTTTTTCGGTTAACCTCATGTGTAGGGTCGAGGCTTGTGCGGCTAAAGTACAGTAATTAACGCGAGTTTGGTTGCTTGTGAATTTACTTACCAACGCCCATGTTCCAGCGCACGTTCCGAAGTTGGAATCCTGTTGGAAGCTGATCGTAACTCCGTATCAAAAGCCATCATACACTCCTTACAGTACTACTGTGGTGGTTCCTTATCATAACTATGGTAAAGTGGGCCTCCAAACCCTATTCTGATCATTAAGGCCCCTAATATAGATACCCATTATGGATCCCTTGTAGACCCTTCAAGGATCCCTTTAAAGGGAACCCTATTCTAATCATTAAGGCCCTTTTATTAAGCTCCTCACTTAAAGGATCATGGGACTTAGTATCTAGGGTTATAGTTAGGGTAACTATACTTATAACTACTTATAACCCCAATTAAGGTACTTATAACCTTTCTTACTAAGTCCCATGATCCTTTAAGTAAGCAAGCTCTGGCAGAGAATCCTCAAGAGCCGAGGCGCGAGGAGCTGGGCCTGGCAGGAATCTCACAGACGCCGGAGGTCATGGCCCTCTGGCTCCTCGGATGTCGGCCGGTTTGTATTGTGTTTTTTCCTGAATTTCTGATACATGGTTTCTACTGCTTTCTATGCTATCTAGAATTTTATTCAGCAGAAGAGTTTCAGTTTGTGCTGGCACTCCTGGCCAGTTCTTGTTTTTACCGGCGGTTCTTCGCACTGTGTTGCTCCGTTTTCTATGGGAGGTTCTTTTCGCAGGCGGCCTTAACGCTTGAGAATGGGACAACAAAAGGAAACGGCACCACAAGTTCGCAACGGGTTCGGCACGATAGTTTCTTGGATAGGGGTTTCGGGCTCGAGGGTGAAGGGTTGAGGCTTCCAACCAAATATCAGGTATTTCCGTCAAGGCTTTTGGTAGGGCTGTGCAAGACTTCAATACGGGGCAATCGCGGTAGCATGTTGACGGTCCAAGCCTTAAGAAGCCCACAGACCCCTCTCTTACAAAGTTTCTAACACACTGCAAAAGTCCGCCTTAATCCAACAACACCAAAAATCCCAACACGATGCATTGGTTTCGGGTATTTGTTTATTCCACTGGGTTTTCGGCTTTTGCCATGGCGGGTTCACCACGATTTCGTTCTCTGAGCTTTGGAAAATTAGCGAACGTTTGCTTAAAACTGTGGCAAAGGTACGTTGAGTGTGGCTTGTTGGGTTCTACAAGGCTTTTATGTGGCTACATGGGCCTCATAGGATTGTAAGAGTTTGTAAGGGGTTTGTAAGGATTATTTAAGTGCTCTATAAGAGCTTTCAAGATGCAGGTTCCTAAGCTACCCTGGGTAACAGCTACATAAGGTGATTTAGGTTAATTACATGAGCCTCGGTATCGCCAAGCCCTCAGCCCCAAACCATCATCCTTAAACCCTACATTTTAAGCCCTGGACCACCAGCACCGCAGGGGGTTTATTCATCACCTCCAGCCCAAGCTCTTTCTCGACGAAGCCTTAAACTTTTCCGATTCCTACCATATAGGGGTCCGAGTTATGCCTGCAACATAAAACCATCCCTCCAGGCCCTTAAACCCTAGACCCCTAAACCCTGAACCCTACATCCTAAGCCCTAAACCGCTACACTCAAGAAGCCCTTGGATGAAAGCTTGCGCCGAGAGCAAGGGGCATCAGAAACCTCCTCAGTCGATGTCGCGGCTGTACTGGGAGGTTCATGGGTTTTCATAAGTGGGGTTTTAAGTGGGGTGCCTTTAAACGGATCTACAGGGTTATAGGGTTTAGGGTTTTTGTGAGCGGGCTTATAAGTAGGGAAACTATAGTTTAACCCTTATTAGAGCACTTAGAACCAACTTTTAACTGTCCATGAACCTCCAAGTATGGGCGTGACGACATAGCAGGTCCTTTGTCGCTGCAGAAAGAGATAGTGCAAGCTGTGACAGGTGGCTTCCGTCCAGTATGGCCCACCCTCACCCTCAGGGGGGCCGTGCCCGGCTATGCCTGATGCCCCGACTTCTGTGAAACCCTAAACCCTAAGAGAGAGTACTTCAGCTACGACCATACCTCGACTGCATGACCCAGAGCCGCCCAAGTCAGACTTCAGTCTGAAGCCCTAAACTCCCACAAAGTCGCCGTGGACCCCAAACCCCTGGCTTTGGGTTTGTGTTTCGGATTAGGGTTGCTGTGTTTTTGTGTGTGCCCTGGCTCTTGGCTTTGAAAGAATTTCGAAGCCCTGAGGACCTGCCCCACCTACCGGGCGATACAGAATGAAGCCCACCAGTATTCGAGACAGCTCTTCGAGCTGATGAAGGCAAGAGACCTTTTGGGATTCTGGAATTAAGGGCTTGGGGTCCAGGGTTTAGGGCAGCTTTTGGTTTACAGCTTGCGTATCCATCTACAACTGTGTTTATACGCTCATAGGCATATGCATGCATACATACACATATACAGAACGGCCACCACCACCACCACCACCCCCGCCGCCGCCGCCGCCCACACCACCACCACCACCGCCACCACCACCAACACCGCCGCCCCTGCCACCACCGCCACCAATTTCGCCACCACCGCCGCCAACACCGCCCTACCGCCACCATCACCACCACCGCCGCCAGCATTACCACCGCCACCACCACCACAGTAGTAGTAGTAGTAGTAGTAGTAGTAGTAGTAGTAGTAGTAGTAGTAGTAGTAGTAGTAGTAGTAGTAGTTGTAGCAGTAGCAGTAGCAGTAGCAGTAGCAGTAGCAGTAGCAGTAGCAGTAGCAGTAGTAGTAGTAGTAGTAGTAGTAGTAGTAGTAGTAGTAGTAGTTGTAGCAGTAGCAGTAGCAGTAGCAGTAGCAGTAGCAGTAGCAGTAGCAGTAGTAGTAGTAGTAGTAGTAGTAGTAGTAGTAGTAGTAGTAGTAGTAGTAGTAGTAGTACTCAGTAGTTGTAGTTGTTATGAGTAATAGCAGCAGCAGTAGTGGTGGTGGTGGTGGTGGTGATAGTAGTAGTAGCTGCTACGGCTGCGGCTGCTGGTGCTGCTACTGCTCCTTCTATCCCTGCTACTTCTGCCACCACTCCCAACTACTTGGAGGTTCATGGGTAGTTATAAGTGGGGTTACAAGTAGGGTAGCTCTAATTATAACCCCGTATTAGGGGGCCTATAATCCCACTTATAACTACCCATGAACCTCCAAGTATCACCACTACCACTACCACTACCATGACCACTACCATGACCTCTACCACTACCACTACTACTGCTCCTCTTCCTCCTGCTGCTGCCGTTGCTGTTGCTCCTGCGACTGCTACTGCTACTGCTGCTGCTGTTACTGCTACTGCTCCTGCTACTGCCATTGTCACTAAAGCTAAAGAGACCCGATGCGCTCCATGCCGAACCCTTAAGCCTGCAAGCCGCTGGGTTTGGTTTTAGGGCTTAGGGTTTAGGGCTTAGCACCGAATTCCAAACAAAAAGCTTATGCCCCGGCCGCATATGGCAAACTCGATGCCCTAACCTCAAAACGCCGCGAGCCCTGAATTCCTGCAGAGCCTTTGGGACCCTTCGTAGACCTCGGGTAAACCCTAAACCCGAGAACCTGGCATGCCCTAAACCCGAAATGCCCTGAACCCTAGACCCTAAATGCCGAGTAAATGCCTTAAATTCAACCATGAACCTAAATGCCCTCAACCTTAAACCCTACTTCAGGAAGTCCTCGTGGTATCCGACTGGGATCGGAGCGCGCCGAAAGCCGGAGGCCTGCAGGGGAAGGGGCTGAGGAGTTTAGGGTTTAGGAGTTTAGGGGTTTATGAAGCGGTCATCGGACGATCCAGAGTTTAGGGGTTTAGGGTTGACGGGTTTAAGGGTTGAGGGTTATGTGTTTACAGGTTTAGGGTTTAGGGCTTACTGCAGGAGTTACGACATGGGTTACTATGTGGTTTGCTACAAGTCTTACTACAGGGGTTAGTTTCAGGATTTCTACAGGTTACTTCAATGGCTACTGCCCAAGGTTACTATAGACAGGTTGTTATAGTAAGTGTGATTACTTTGGGGCTGGGCCCACTCGGGACTGGCTGTACCAGGGTTTTCGTGTCTACAGAGGTTGTTCGTGGGTTGTAGAACGGATTTCGCAAAGAGTTTCCAAGGACTTCAAGGGGACTTTTTGTTTCGAGTTTGGACCTTTGCAAAGAAGTGGAGGTGCAAAACAGTGAGACGAATAACCCCAGTCAGGGTAACGCTTCGAAGGGGAGGGTCAATTCCTCAACCCCGGATCTAAACTTCCGTAAACTCTCAGGCCAGAACCATAACAATTCTCATAAAGTCCTGATTGAATTCGATAGAGCCCTGACGGAACCCTGATGAAAGATTATGAAGCTTTCTCAGACCCCTTCTCAATAAAGCTCTAACAAACCCAAATACAAATACGCAAACATACATATCATTCGTATATATATATATATATGTATATATATATATATATATATATATACAGATATATGTAGATATTTACCATACATAAGTCTTTACGTGTGCCTGCGCTGTCTGCAGCTTTCATGTACCTCTCCTACTACTTGTTCCGCACCCACGCGATGCCGGAATCTGCTGCCGCCTGGACATCGGCCATGTGTCTGTTGGAGGCTTCTTCCAGGGTTTAGGGTTTAGGATTTCAACTTCACAAACATGCAGTAAATCATCCTAAGCCCTTTTGCTCCAAACCTAAGCCCCTTCAATCGATAGGCTTTCTTACTTCCCGGATCCTTTCCTTGAGTAAATTCTACATAGGTTAGGGGCGAGGAGATGGCGGCTGTTGCCTTAGACTCTAAGCCCCTATATATATATATATATAGATTGATTGCAAGGCCATGAAACATCAAGACTTGCCTTCTTTGGGTTTAGGCGGAAGGCTAGAACTGGGCTCAGTAAGGGCCCCGTTTGCCCTGCTTAGAGGTTTTCAGAAGGACATGTGCTGTGTAGGCTTGTGGAATGGTTTTTTAAAGCTTTACTCCAGTGGCCTGGGTTTTCAGCAGTAGTCCTCCCAAGCATATCTACAACCATAGTAATGGAGGCCAAACCTTCTGCACTGGGGAACAGCGGTGAGAGTTTTCCTTTAGTTGTCCAGGGCTCACGGCCCAGGATATAGAACTTGCGGTTTAGGACATCTAGGATTCGCCGTTTAAGCCGTGTGAGGGAAGTTAGGGTTTGGGGTTAAGGGTATACGGGTTTAGCAGACTGCGAGAGTTTGAGAAGTTTCGGTTGTGACAGTCACGCCTGCAAGCCTCCGGTTCTGCATCTGAGCCCGTAGTTGGACAAGGGTGTTCGGTACTGTATCTAGTTCTTGTTGTTCAGCCGACTATCACTATCAGAAGTCTTACTATGATCGCTAAATGCAAGTATCAAGGCTGTTTTGTTTTTTGCTGTTGCGCGAACCCCTAAACCCGAAACCCCCAACCCTAAACCCTAGTCCCTGAACCGCGAACTTCATTTCTTTCCGTAGCTGGCTCAGATCCCGGATGAGTACCGAATCCCTGAAGATTTAAGGCTCATTTTTTCCTGAAGGCCAATTTTTTCGGAAGGGTTCAGAACGGGACGTGTAAGGTCCGTAGAGGGTTGCTGATCTATGAGGCATCTCCGAAGTCTCACGTTGACCCATATATAAGTACAGTACACTGTGCTCCAACACGGCCCCAAGATTATGCCAAGCAGGCGGTGAAGGCCACGAATGGCTCGGAGCCTTTAGCGGTGACCTTAGTGTGAGCAGGGTCTGCTTGTCTGACTTTGGGCTTAGGGTTCTGTATTTTTTTCGGATGTGTCTTGTGACAGAAGTCGTGCTCATAGGGTTTAGGGTTTGGGGGAGAGGTTCTCAAGATTCTCTACTATGGGGGTGTAAGCCCCATTAGACCCTGAACCCTAAGTCTCAGTTGCGAGCTGCGCGCAGACGCCTTGCGGCTTAAGAGGTGCTCTTGGAAAATGGGAAGATTGGCTCAGTGCTACAATCAAGTGAAGCATCGGTGGACAGCGGCGCCGGCACGCACTGCGATAGTGCGGAAGCTGCTAAGTGTGCCTTGCATTTTCTGAATGTCCTCCAAACGCAAACAAATGCCGAATATGGAGATTCACGCGATGGGACTGCTCGACAGACCCTCGGCCCTTCAACCGAACCCCTGAACCCTGAATCCATAACCCTAAGCCCTAAAGCCCTACGCCCTGAACCCGAAAACCCTAAAGCCCCAAAGCCCCAAGCCCCCGGCAGGGTTGGTAAGGGTTTAGGGTTTTGGGGTTTTTGTATTCAAGGAAGGGCTCCGAGAAGGGGTGATTCGGGTCTGGGTTTAGGGTGCAAATGGTTTTCCCATAAGGGTTATTTAATGGTTCTTCGAGGGTTCCTGCAAATGTCCTATACGGTTTCTAAGAAGGTTACGACAAGACTTCCTATTCCTTTAAGGATTACTATACAGCCTCCGGCACGGGCTGACAGCATACAGTTTAGAGTTTCAGCGCGTTTCCGTTTTCGGAGTTTGAGTTTTGCTGTTGTTGCTTTCCGAGCCTTGGGTGATCAGTACATGCCGAGACAGCACGAGCACACATATTTTGTAATTGAGTGACCTCCTTGCTATCATTTTTCATATGATGTTGGAGTTCACGAAGTCTGGGGCCTAGGGGTACACTCCAGTACACAATTTTTCCAAGATTGTTGCGCTCGTGGAATAGGACCCTACTTCCGGAACTTGGGCCGCTAAATATTCCCAAAACTCTAAGAACTGAAACAATAGCCAGCTTCACGTCTGGGTACCTGCAGTATCTCCTGCAGTAGCAGTGGTTCGGGGTTGAGCACAAGTCAAGCCCATCCACCCGACCCGACAGCACCGAACCGCCCGAAAACTCCGAAACCCTGAAACCCCTACGACCTCAAAGCTGCCCGATCCCAAAACCCCCTCAAGAAGCTTTGCAGGGCTCTTATAGAGCCTTTTGTAGATGACTCATGGATCCCCTTTCAACAAACCCCTTTAGACACCCTAAAACTTAAACCCTAATCCCTAAACCAAAGCTGGCCATTGCACTTTAAAAAAAAAAAAACCAAAGCTAAACCCGAAGTCAGGCCGTAGTCGAAGCCTTTCGAGAGCTGGATGCCCGGTCCCCAGCGGGGGTATAGTGTTCAGGCATGCAGACCTCAGGGTTTCGGGTTCAGTTCTGCCATGCCCCGAAGACGAGCGAAGTGATAGGCGTGTGTCCTTGCAGAGCAGTTCAGGTTGGCTTAGAGTTTAGGAGTTTAGGGCTAGAGGTTATTAGAATGGTTCAGGATTCATCAGGATGGTTTAGGGTTTGGGGTTTAGGGTTTGGGGTAATCACCGGAGCTTCCATGTCAGCTCGGTGCCGTCGCAACTACGAGACATGACAGTTCAAGCCCTGAGCCCTACTTGAGGGACAGAAGATGGTTAGTAAGCAGATGTAAGAAGGCTTCAGGTGATTAGACCTTGTAGGATTCGTGATAAAATCCCCTTGAGAGTAACCATGGTGCCTTCAGATTCCATCTGCAAGGCGCGGAAACATCCTAAAACCCTGAACACTTCTACACCTTGAAACCCTGCAGCAGGAACTCTAGAATCCTTTCCCCAAGCCCTTATGGTACCCTTAGGGTAACTTGGATGGGACCCCTAAAAAGCCACTTATAATCCTCAGATTCCTTGATTTAACACCCATGTAGTACAAGTGGTTGGACGCCGTTTTGCCTTCAACCTTGAACTGACTTTTTGGGCACTACTGCAGGACCCCTTTTTTGATATAAGATACGGAAACCCCTGTTTTCTCAGATTCACGTTAAGAACCATGTGAAGAACCCTTCGAACCATTCTGAGCTCTCACATTCACCCCAAGCCCCAAACCCTAAACCCCAAAGCCCCCAAAACCACCAAAACCCCCAAACCACAAACCCTACACCCCTCAGATCCCGTCCCTCTTCGGGCACGTGAAGTTCAACTCTGAAGGCTCGGCACCCAGCCTTTTGGCCACCCCCGCCTGGGCTCGGGGCTTCGTCGGCTTTGCTTTGAAGGCTTGTTTATTTAAGGCTTTGTTTTTTTGCAGGTCATGCCTTATTAAGTTTCGTATGGCGAGGCCGGGTTTTCGAAGGTTGTAGAAGGATCGTCAGCGTCTTGTAGAGTGTTGTCTGGTTTTGCAAGGGTTTCGCAGGGTGTTAGAGGTCCAAGCCACTCCCCCAAAGTTGAGGGTGCAAGCCTTCTTCATCAACTTCGCGCGGTTCCGTCAACCATGATTCCCTCAACCCCGCTTCCTTCAACCATGTTCCCCGCTTCCCTCAACTCAGATTGTGGGTTTCTTTCAACCCCCATCGCCCGCTTCCCTCAACCCGGATATTGCCCCATCGCCCGATTCCGTCGACGCATACTGTGCTGATTCCGTCAACTCCGCCCCCCCGTCTGCGTGCTGGGGGTTGAGTGAATCTGCGTGCTGCGGTTGAAAGAATCAGGTTGTGTATGGGTTGAACGAAGCAGTTCTTTGGGTTGAAGGAATCATTTCCTTGGACATGGTTGAATGAATCTGCGTTCTGAGGTTGAAGGAAGCAGGTTTTGAGGTTGAAGGCATCCGCGTTTCCGGGTTGACAGAATCCGCGGTCAGTGGTTGACGGAATAATCGGCGAAAAGTTGAAGGAATCCGCGCGCGACCCAAAGTTGAGGGTTGATGCTCGTTTTGACGACAATGAGGATTTTCTAAGGGATTCAAATGGTTCGGGTTGACGGTTCATACTAGGGCTTCGTAGGGTTGAGGTTGGGTTAGTCCCTTTACTAAGTGTGGGTTAAGGGCTGTCGGGGGTGCCTCGGGTTCTCTCGGGTTTCAATTATTTAGGGCCAACCCCGCTGCCATCCCCGAAGCTAAGCCATCAAACCCGGACCCCACCCCCCAAAACCACCGAATCTAAACCTCCAGACATCATGCCTCAAGCTTCAGCTCCAAACACGACACCCTGTGCCGACAGCTTCGAGCATTCAATCCTCAATCGCGAAACCCCCAAACAGGGGTGGTAGCAATGTCGAACATGAAGCGAATCATGGTCTTCGCTCTCGCCATGTGATCATCGGCACCATCATCATGACCATAAGAGTGACGAAGATGATGGCCATCGTCATTTCAGCACCAGCACCACCATCATCATCCATGTCCATAGTATGTATTCAAAATAGTTCACAGGCATGTCTGTACCCGCCGGCTTTACAGGATTCCCCAACTCATGAAGCTACCGACAGCAAGACTATACGTGCTAACTGCTAGTACGAGCTCGAAGAAGACAGCGCAAATGCTCCAAAACTCTGAATTCTCGAGGTCGCCGAGAGGAGGGCGCGTCAACGATGCAGCTGGATGTCAGCTGGGCCCTCGTGTTACGATTGAGGATGGTTCAGGGTTTAGGGTTTCTACTTCAGAGGTTTAGGGATCGGGGTTAACTTTTCGGGCTTTCAGGGTTCTCCTGAAGGTTCCTGGGTCAAAACCCCAAACACAGGAGACCCTCAACCCCCCATGATGCCCGCCTTAACCCGAAGCAAGCCAAGCCTAGACCCTAAAAGCCTTCCTATGCCCCCAACAAACGCTCAAACCGGACATTGAGCTTAGAACTCTTGCACAATCGATCCCAATGTAGTGGCTGTTTTCGGATTTCTGCACGAAGTTTTGACGGGTTTTTGATGGGTTTCTTCAGAACAAGCTTGCAGGAAGATGCGTAGCTCTCGAAGTGAGGATCCTGAAAGGTATGCACATTAAAGCCTAACCCCCAAACCCGCTCCAAGCCCGGGATCTTCAACCCAGGCCCCACCTTTATTTAGGGTTTAGGGTTTAGGGAATTCTAGACAGAACCCACTAAACTCACCCTAAACCCTACACTCCAAGCCGCGGAAGCCTAAATGGGAGAACCTTAGGTCAGCTGCCCTTAAGCCTAGAGGGGAGCTTTTTGGGCTCGGGGCATTCAAGCTTAGACGAAACATCCGATTCCGGACAGCAAGCTGAAACGGGATAGGATTAGGGTTTAGGGTTAATTTGGATTCTCAAGCTCTGGGTTTAGGATTTGAGACATATGCCTTAGTAACCCTTCAAGGAAGGGCTTCTGCTTGGAGCTTTATGGGTTGTTATAAGTGGGTTATGGGGTTCCTTTAAGGGTTCTACTAAAGGCTTAGGAACAGTTATAAATGGGTGATATTAGGACTAAAGTGACCTTACTAAAAACACCCACTTATAATTACCCATGAACTTCCATACTTGCTACCCTGCACTCTGGGCGGGTACTGACACTTGGCTTGCGAGGTACCTTGAGCTCTAATCTTAATTTGGTATATAAGGCCCTATGCGTCTGTAACCTTTTGTTGAAATCACACGAAAGTCCTCGATATCATCGAGTGTAACCCTACTTTTCTTTTTTATGCTGTTGTATTTGAAACTCTGATTTGCTTTCGATTTCGGAATGAAGATAAAGGATTAGCAGCCCACTCCCAAGACCCGAAACCCCACGCCCTAATTATGGTTGAAAGTTCGTATCGCAAAGCCCAAACCTACACCCCAAAAAACAAATCGCTAAGCATAAAAGTTCCGAGCTCTGAACCGCAGCCCGAGAACTGCACACCCTATCTTTCTCTGTATGTGTACGGGAATGTGTACCGGTGCGTGTATGTATATATGCACGCACAAACATATGGGAGTTTCCGAAAATTAGGGGTACCTTATTTTGGAGTCCTTATAATAGGGATCCTACTATTTCGGGTGCTATGTTGGGGTACCCTATTTTCGGAAACTCCCATATATATATATAGATATATAAAGTTATATATATATATATATATATGTATACACACATCGCACATATACATAAACACGCACATGCACATCTGTATGTATGTATCTATGTATGCACGCGTGTAGGTGTGTACATATGTATGCATACATTGTATGTACATATATATATATATATACATAGATATGTGTATATACCCATGCAAGCTGTACAAATGTACAGACGAATACAATTCACATCCATGTATGCCAGGGCATGTGTATGGGAAGACCGACAGACAGACAGAAACAGCGAAGAGCAGATGGACAGGTCGATAGCTCTGTCGATCGGTAGATAGATAGGTTCAAAGGGGAAAAGGGGGGACCCTTAATGGGGACCCCTACCCTATAATGGGCTATGTAATGGGTTTATAATAGCTATATTAAGGGTATATACCTAGGGGCCCTTATTAAGGGTCCCTCCTGTTACCCTTGGATAGGTTGTTTCACAGGAATGTAGGTAGATCGGTAGATAGAGAGCCGAATAGACAGGTCGGCAGATAGGTAGCTTCGTAGAGAGAAAGAAGGGTAGACACATAGAAAGATAGGTTGCTAGATACCCTAAACCCTAAACCCCCAAACCCTAAACCCCAAACCTCTGAACCCTAAACCCCTGTACCCCTAAACCCTAAACTAGATACGCATAAGGAACCCGAACCCTGAAGGGGACCCAAGCTGCCAAAGACCCTTTGTCGAGGCTACAGCGAGATCGAAGGCCAGCGCTTCGGTTCTGCAACTCTTTCTTTGTGTATCAATGATCAATGTTTGACGGGATTTTGGGGTTTAGGATTTAAGGTTTAATGTACGATCCTTGATAATTCGACTAGGCTACTGCGGTTTCATAGGGCTTTCTAGGGGCTATCAGCTTTTCTACCGCAGGTGAAAAGTCAGCGCCCTAAGCACAACAACACCAAGTAGGGTATCAAGACGAAAACTGGAACCCACATACCCTAAGCCCTTAACCCTAAAATGTACTTGCGAGCCCCGGAGTCCTTCAGCCTAAGGAGGGAATGCAGGACACATCGTAGACACCAAATGATAGGGCTGCTTAACACTTCAACGAGGGCTCCTGACAACAATAAAAGCCGTTCTGGAACATGCAACAAACCTCTACCCATACGAAAACTTCAAGTAAAACCTGAAGTCTTATCTGTTTAGGCTCTAAACCCCAAGCCCTGAAACTCCAAGCCCAAATCCGCCTAAGCCCTCAACCCTAAACCCTCAACCCTGAAGAGGCGTGGACATCGCCATCCGCTACGTGACCCCGGCGCTTCCTCCCTCCGAAAGCTCCGCAAGTGAGGCCATGGCTTCTGGCCGAGGGAATAGGATGGTACGGTTGATGATATGAATCCTGCATTATCTCAAGGACCCTAAACTACGAGAATTGTGGCATGTTCCTTATTATAGGTAATGCAGGATTTAAATCATCAACCGTAGCAGTACCAGTCGTCCTAGTCATCGTAGTTGGCGTAGAAATAGGAGGTGGTCGCAGTAGTTGCAGTAGTTGTAGTAGCAGTTGTAGTAGCAGTAGTAGTAGTAGGAGTAGTAATAATAGTAGTGGTAGTAGTGGTAGTAGTCGATGTAGTCGATGTAGTAGTACTAGTAGTAGTAGTAGTAGTAGCAGCAGTAGCAGTAGCAGTAGCAGTAGCAGTAGCAGTAGCAGTAGCAGTAGCAGTAGCAGTAGTAGTGGTGGGAGCAGACGTCGACATAGTAGCTGCTGCCTTCATCAAGAATAGAGAAACACCAGGCCAGGAATGCTTAGGGGAAGAGCACCGCATGGTGGCCGAAAGTGCGCCAGGGCACTAGGTGAAGCTTGGTATCCTTTCGCACTGTCATGCAGCCTCACATCAGTAACAACAATGCTGTGAGGGTCCGGTGCGCCCCAAACTTGAAGCCCTAAACTCCAACTAGGATTGCTAGACTTGCGGATCCCTTTTTGTCTGAAAATCGCCCCAAGCTCGAAACCTCAATCCCCTGAGCGCGAAGTCGTAACTGTGAAGGGCCCGAATCCGAAACGTCCAACCCGAAAAACACCCAGAGAACCTGAAGTCGGAGGCCTCAAAAGGTGGGATGAAGGTAGGTAGGATTAAGGATCCCTTATATAAGGACTCTTATTTGGGAATATCCCACCTACCTTCATCCCACCTTTTGAGGCCTCCGATGAAGCCCGAGCCTTCAACCTCAAACCTGCCTGGTCGGGGCCTTCAAAGGTTCTATATCTAGGGCCAAGGATTTTTCTTGGTTAAACCCTAACTCTACACCAACACACTGGCCCTACCCTTCAATCTCAAGCTCCAAGCTCCAAACCCGGAGCCCGAAACCCTGAACCCTAAACCCTAATCAAAAAACCTTAAGGATTTCATATAGGGGCCTGAATAGTTACTTAGCCTATTTGGCCTGAATAATTACTTAGCCTATTTTGGGGGTCCTTATTATAATCATAGTACCAAAAAACCACAAAACCCTATTCTAATTATCAAGGCCCCTATATTATAGGACCTTCCAGGAAGCCCTTAGAAGATCCCTAGGGTTTAGGGTTTAGGGTTTAGGGCCCTAAACCCTAAACCCTAAACCGTCACCTGAAACTCCGGAGGGCCCGATGCCCCCTATGGATCCCTGCGCGTTCCGGTGGGTCACCCCAAGGCAGCTGCAAGGACGGAAGGGCACAAGGAAACCTGAAAACGGTGTGAGGTTTGGGCTTTAGGGTTCTAGGGTTTAGGGTTCAGGGAAACCGTGAACCCACAACTTTAAAAGACCTGAACTAAACCCAATCACTTCACTGTATTGTCTAGGTTCTACACTAACGGTTCCTTACGTTGAATACAATTCGTTAAAGGTCATGCCCCTACAGGGGTTGGGTTTATGTGGTCCCTCCTCTGTGGTCTCAGATCTGAAGCCAAAACCTAGCCTGAAGTTTAGATCCAAAACCTGCAACCCCGATGACGATTTGACGTGGGCCCCAAGTCTAACTAGGTCACCAAGAAGGCAGTGACATCACTGTTACGACAAGGAACCTTGATCTAGATAAGTTACCCATAGCGTTTCTTTTTGTAGGTTGTCGGGTATAGGCTTTGAATGGCTTTTGGCCGTGCCTTGTCTCCACGTAACACGACTTTCCGGGCTGGGGGCCTATATGAGTTTCAGGCTACCTAAGGTCACTGTGCCAGATCCATGCGTAGTACATGCGTCGCAGCCGATGCCACCTTTTTTGTGGTGGAAAATGTGGTGGCTGAATCTGATGCTGCTTGGTTTGGCAAGTAATGCTGAGGATGTTCGCTGTGCTGAGGCTTGTGTTGGAGCGTGCGGCAGATGAGCTGGTGCTGCAGGCGCGGCAGCTGATGCTGATGATGCTTGCCGTCCTGGGGCTTGTGTCGGATTGTGCGGCGCTGTTGCTCATGATGCTCGCGGTCTTGGGGCTCGTCTTGGCATGTGTGCCACCTGCTGCTAAGGTTCGCTGTCCTCGGGCTTTGTGTTGACCGTGCGACAGCTGATGCTGATGATGCTCGCAGTATTGGGGCTCGTGTCAGAACATGCGGCAGCTGATGCTGATGATGCGCGTTGTCCCGGGGCTTGTGTTGGCATGTGCAGCAGCTGACGCTGAGGATGCTCGTTGTCCTGCCGCTTGTGTTAGCATGTGCAGCAGTTGATGCTGATGATGCTCGCCGCCCCCGGGCTTGTGTCGGACTATGCGGCAGCTGATGCTGATGATGCTCGGAGTCCTGGGGCTTGTGTCGGGACATGCCGCCGCTGATGCTGATGATGCTTGCTGTCTCAGGGCTTGTGTTGGCATGCTGCAGCCGATGCTGATGATGCTTGCTGTCCCGTGGCTTGTCCTGGAAGGTGTGGTGGTGGCTGATGCTGATACTGCTCGCTGTTCTGCGTCTTGCGTTGGCATTTGCGGCAGCTGATGCTGAAGATGCTCGCTGTCCCGAAGCCTTGTGTTGAACGTGCAGCGCTGTTGCTGATGATGCTCGCGGTTTTCGGGCTCGTCTTGGCATGTGTGCCACCGTGCGACAGCTGATGCTGATGATGCTCGCTGTATTGGGGCTCGTGTCAGAACATGCGGCAGCTGATGCTGATGATGCGCGTTGTCCCGGGGCTGGCATGTGCGGCAGCTGACGCTGAGGATGCTCGTTGTCCTGCCGCTTGTGTTAGCATGTGCGGCAGTTGATGCTGATGATGCTCGCCGCCCCGGGCTTGTGTCGGACTGTGCGGCAGCTGATGCTGATGATGCTCGCAGTCCTGGGGCTTGTGTCGGGACATGCCGCCGCTGATGCTGATGATGCTTGCTGTTTAAGGGCTTGTGTTGGCACATGCTGCAGCCGATGCTGATGATGCTTGCTGTCCCGTGGCTTGTCCTGGAAGGTGTGGTGGTGGCTGATGCTGATACTGCTCGCTGTTCTGCGTCTTGCGTTGGCATTTGCGGCAGCTGATGCTGAAGATGCTCGCTGTCCCGAAGCCTTGTGTTGAACGTGCGGCGCTGTTGCTCATGATGCTTGCGGTCTTGGGGCTCGTCTTGGCATGTGTGCCACTTGATGCTGAGAAGGTTCGCTGTCCTCGGGCTTTGTGTTGACCGTGCGGCAGCTGATGCTGATGATGCTCGCTGTGTTGGGGCTCGTGTCAGAACATGTGCTGTGGCTTGTGTTGGCAGGTGCGGTAGCATCAGCTGATGATGCTCACTGTCCTGCTTGCATCAGCATGTGCGGCAGCTGACGCTGATGATGCTCGTTGTCCTGCCCCTGGTGTTAGCATGCGCGGCTGGTGATGCTGATGATGCTCGCCGCCCCGGGCTTGTGTCGGACTGTGCGTCAGCTGATGCTGATGATGCTCGCTGTCCTGGGGCTTGTGTCGGGACATACCGCCGCTGATGCTGATGATGCTTGCTGTCTCACGGCTTGTGCTGGAAGGCATGCCGGCTGATGCTGGTTCTGCTCGCTGTCCATGCTGTCCTGCGTCTTGCGTTGGCATTTGCGGCAGCTGATGCTGATGAGGCTCGTGGTCCCGGGGCCTTTTGTAGAAAGTGTTGCAGCTGATGCTGATGATGCTTGCTGTGCCAGGGCTTGTGCTGGAAGGCATGTCGGTTCTGCTCACTGTCCTGCGTCTTGCGTTGGCATTTGCGGCAACTGATGCTGATGATGCTCGTTGTCCTGCGGCTCGTGTCAGCATGTGCGGCAGCTGATGCTGATGATGCTTTCTGTCCTGTGGCTTGTGCTGGAAGGTGCGACACCTGATGCTGATGATGCTCCTTGTCCTGGGGCTTGTGCTGGCACGTGCGACGGCTGATGCTCATGATGCTCGCTGTCCTGCGGCTTGCGCTAGCATGTGCAGCAGCTGATGCTGATTATGCTCGTTGTCCTGGGGGCCTGTGTTGGCACGTGCGGCAGCTGATGCTGATGATGCTCGTTGTCCCGGGGCTTGTATTGGCACATGCGGCAGCTGATGCTGATGATGCTCGCGGTATCTTGCGGTCCTACGGCTTCTCTTGCCAGCCAGTCCAGCACGCTAAGCCCCAACGCCAAGCCCAGCCAGCAGCTTCAATCGAGCTTGAACACGAAAACCAATCTAGACGAAAGGAAATAAACAGGCATATCCTGAGGTTTAGGGGTTTAGGGTGTTGGGTCTTAGGAGTGTCAGGCTTGAAAAAATTTGTGGTAACATCACCGTTTGATCCCTTCGTCATGATACCTTACGGTTGAACTTCTTAAACTCCCGAAGGACCTGGCCCCGCTGGCCCTGGACCCGGAGCACCACCACCGCCAACGCCGCAGCCGCCAACGGCACCACTGCAACGACGTGGCTCCCTGCGCTTCCGCCACCCGTTGACCTATCCGAAGATGCTCGGCCAGAAAGGGAGGGAGGTGTGATCAGGGCGGGGTGTAGGGTGATTAGGGCTTCATGATTTGAGAATATACTGTATTTGTGTAGAGTATAGTATCTCAGATGCTGCTCTGTGGAACGCTGGCGTGGAAACACCTCTCCCCAGCAGCCAGCCAAGCCTGAACACTTACAATGGGCTGTGCCCTGCCAAAGGGGTTTAGGGTTTAGGGTTTAGGGGTTTAGGGTTAAGGTTTAGGGTTTAGGGTTAAACCATTACAAGTCCACTAGAAAGCCGCCATGCAGCTTTGCCAAAAGCTTATTCAGTCCATATTGGCCAACAACGCTGCCAGATCTGACCTGCATTCTATGGGTAGTTGTCAAGATTGTAATTATGGTCCCTTTTTGAGGTACCCTAAATATTAGGAGCCATATTTGTAATAGGAACCCCAAAAAAGGTACCATAATTTTGAGAACCACCCATATTTCTGAATGACGTCCGGAGATTCCCCAGCAGCCCCAGCAGCATATGCCAGAGCATGCAACCTTTGCCCTGGCAATCAAGGGGTTCCGAATACGGGAGTTCCGGAAATTGGGGGTACCTTATTTTGTGGTCCTTATACTGAGGATCCTACAGTTTGAAGTACTATATTACTAGGGTCCCATACTTTCGGAAACGCTCATGTCTTTGGGATCAAGAAACGGAGGTGCCAGACGGCCTATGTCCACCGATCCCTGCCTGGCATGGAAGCAGCGGATGGCCCCAACAAGTGGGCAGCCATTGAGATCCGGTTGGAAGGCAGAGCCAGATCTGAAAAAGGGAAGTTCATGCAAGTGCATTCCCCCGTCTCCCACATCATACAGGCTGCAGGGGAGCATGAAGGTAAGTTCTCAGCCAGCATCTCTGGTGGGCACCATCCTTTCCAAGCTCGAACAGGATACAGATGGGGGCCCAGACGACCAGGAGCCTATTCAAAAGGGGCAGGAGCTGCTCCGGAATATCAGGCAAGCCACTGCGGGTTCTATGCTTGTGCCCACACAATCCCACTGCAATCCTTTGCCATTTTCCTGAAGAAGGAATTGGCAGCAGCACTTGACGGGAGTACAGTCGGAGGAACGAGGAACTGTGGCCCCGAACCATCTACACCTGCGGAGCAAGACAAACGGGATGTCTGGGCTGAAAGCCCAAAGTTTGAGCAAGAAAACTCTAAACCGTTGACACCAGCTCATTGGGAGCTTTTGAGTGCGCGCGCATGATTCTTGAACGGCTTGGCTTGGGGTTGGCTCGCTGTGAGTGGTGTTTGGGTGTGGTCTTGGCTAGGGTATATCTTTAATATCTTTAGTTAAATCATAAACCCTAAAACCCCTAAACCCGAAACCCTAAACGCTAAGCCCTAAAGGCCTAAAGGCCCGAAGCCCTACACCCTAGCGGCACGCTTACCGAGCTGCCGCACTGACTGGAAGATCTCGGGCTCTATGTGGGCGGTTGTCAAAATAATATGGTCCCTTTGGGGATCCCTAGTGAGTACGGCACCAAATATTTAGGGAAAATTATGGTCCCTTTGGGGGTCCCTATTTAATACGGCACCTAATATTTAGGGAAAATTATGGTCCCTTTGGGGGTCCCCATTTACCTATTTAATACGGCACCTAATATTTAGGGTACCCTAAACCCTAAACCTTAAACCCTAAAGTACCCAAGAAGGGACCATAGTTTTTTTGTAAACGGATCAGGGCAGAGACCCTGAACCGCAGGGGCAGGAGTCTTGTGCCCTGTGTAGAGTTCTTCATGGCAGCAAAGGTGACAGGTTTCGGGTTTAGGGTGTGGTAGGGTGGTGGAACACAAAAGCCGGGATTATTCTGGTTTGTAGCACACAGGTCCCAAAAAGCCGAGTAGTTCATGCAAGTCCTGTAGTAAGGTCTCGGGGCGAAGCACCAGAATGGAGCCGCCAAAGCCGGCTATAACTTCCAGGTAATTCTCTTTTGGTCCAAGGGTAAAAGGAGGGACCCTCAATAAGGACCCCTAGGTATATACCCTCAATATAGCTATTATATACCCATTATATAGCCCAGTATAGGGTAGGGGTCCGCATTAAGGGTCCCTCCTTCTCCCCTTTGATTTAGTTTCCTGTTTGGGTCACAGAATGAGTATTTGAATTTTAGAACCTTCGTCGGAACTCCTGATGGAACCACTATAAAGTACGTAAACAATGCTAGTAAAGCCCGTTTAACTTTAATGATCCTAAGGATGGCCACGGCCGCTAATCCCTAAACCCTAAACCCCCACCCTAAACCCTAGAACCTTTGTACCACAAGACCGAAAGCTCAAGCCTTCAGCTCGCCACCCCTGCGCTCCAAAGCCCCAAATCCCAAGGAACGAAACTTGACTTCTGAACCCTAAGCTCTAAACCGTCCAGCAGCCCTACATCGCAAATCCTAAGCCCCATTTCTCAAGCAGAATGCCCAGCAACGCGCGATCGCTGAGGATGCTCTGGCAGGACGGCTACTGCTTCAGCAAGCTCTTGGAGCCTTCCGTGCCCCAGCCACATCAAGCCTTTTACTTTAAGTGAGAGGTTCAGGGTTGTGGTTTTACCGTGGAGTTTTAGGGCTTAACTGTTTGGCTTCAAGGTTTTTGGACAGATTTTTCTATTTTGGGAAAAGTCTCGGGACAGAGTTCTTCTGTTCTCGCTATTTGTTTGGGAGGGGTGTTGGAGGGCAGGTTGGGTGGGAGTGGGGTTCATAGGGGGGGCCCCGCTTCTGGCGGCGTGGCGTACCCAGAGACTCCAATATCCCTTAATTAAGGAATATTCCTTAAACCATATTAGGGATCCTACTATAACTTACGGAATATTCCTTAATGAAGGGATATTGGAGTCTCTGGGTAGCTGCAGGTGGCAGTAGCTGAAGGTGGCCCCCGGAACCTTCAGCCTTCGCTATACTCGAGGGGCGCAAAGCCACACTTTTCTGCATCTTTTTGAGAAAACACAACTTGCGGAAGACTTTCCCAAGTTGACAACGAGCATCAAAAGGGCACCCTTTAAAACTCCACAAGCCCGGATGAGGACTTCAACAACCCGTAAATGGCCCCATCAACCCTGAGCCCGCAAGCCCTAAACCTCTTATTGTCGCGTTCTTTTCGATCCTTGATCCTTTAAAGGTATGTTAAACGGATCCAAAGGCTTTGGCGACTTCTTCACCCCTTCTGATTTTTTTGAAATCCTTAACCTTGAGGCCTGAACCCTAAGCCCTATGCCGTAAGCCCACAAAACACCCTACACACCCTAAACCCTGAACCCTCATCCCGTGAACCCAAACCCTACACCCTGAGCCCTTCCTGGAGCCCGAAGCGGCTGTTTACCTTACTATTAGTACCACTCTACTACCAGTAGTAGTAGTAGAAGTAGAAGCAGTAGTAGTAGTAGTAGTAGTAGTAGTAGTAGTCGTCGTAGTCGTAGTAGTAGTAGCAGTAGTAGTACTACTACTACTACTGCTGCTACTACTACTACTACTACCTCAGGACGGCTTGTCCTACGGCCTGCAGTGGGACAACGAGACTGGCAGGCCTCTGGAGTTGAGTTTTCTAAGAGCTTGTTCAGGGTTCTTTCAGGTTTTTTTTGTCATTGTTTCTATGGACTTCTTCGAGGTTCTGTTAGCAAGGGTGTTTGAAGTTTTATTCGAGGGGTCCGGAGGCTTTTTGTAGGGAGTTTTGGATGTTAGGGTCTGGGGCCTAAGGTTTTATGGTTTTGCAGAAGAGGTTCCCTACGAATTCCATGGGTCTTGGCACGGGCTCTTTGGGCAATTGAGGTTTCTTGTCACGAAACCTTGGTTGCGGTTTGAGGTTTAGGGCAGTTTAGAGTCTAGGGTAGGAGGGTTTCGGGTTTAGCGGGGGGTGGGGGGCTTAGTGAGTAATACAGGGGCCTGAATAATTAGAATAGGGTTTTAGGACCCATTATACTATAAGCATAATAAGGAACCACCGAAATAGTATAGGTAATTATTTGGGCCCCTACATTAGGTTGCAAGTAGGGTTTTAGGCGCAGCAACTCCGTTTAGGGTCCTTCTAAGCTACTCTTAGACGCAAGTCTCATGATCCTCCAAGTATCCCCGGACCCTGACCCCTGCACCATCGGAGTCTCACCTTCTTTTCGAAAGCCTTTTGCAGGCATAGGAGTTATAGTCGACAATGTACCCCGAGCAGTGAAACAAGAGACATACCTGCTACCGCGAGAGGTGCGACACAAAAGCCGGACCCTAAACCCTAAACTGTAGACCCTAAACCCTAAACCCTAAGCCATAGCCCCAAGCTGTAAACCTAAGCCCTGAGCAACCCTAAGCTGTGGTGAGTCACTCTAAGTCCCTAATACTGTTGATGGACAAGATCCTTCCTGCAGTTTTCATGAGGAATATACCATAGTTCCCATAGTTTAGAGTCCTTAGGGTCATGTAGGATTTTGTCCAGCAGCAGCATGATGGTAAATGGTATTCCCTTGTAGGTCCTTTTACAAGTATGGCATAATCTGCCCGGAGACCCTTGTTCTCATTGTTCAGGCGCTTAAACTAAAAGCCTAAACCGCAGCGTTCAAGTTTAGAGGCGCAAGCAGATACTTGTTGAAAGAGACTTTTAGGGTTCCTTCTAACCATGTGGGAGTTTCCGAAAATTGGGGGTACTTTGCCTTAGGGTCCATATAATAAGGATGCTACTATTTAGGGTACCATATTTGGGTCCCCTATTTTTGGAAACTCCCATGTCGGGGCTGTCTTGTGCTTGACTCGCGGCCCCTGATCTTCTCAAGCTCCCAGATGAGCTTTTGCTTTCCGGGATCAACTCACTCTTGGCCTTAAGCGCCGGACTAGTTGCAATAAAGTTTAGGGGTATATGATACGACAACTATAGAGGGACCATAAGAGCATGCTACTACTAATGACTCCGATCTCTACAACACGTTTCACCATGGGTCGGGTTTTGGAAGTGTAGGATTTGTGGATCAGCATTGGCGTGAATATAACAGGGCTTGAACAATTCCTGATCGTATTTTTTCTTATCGTTTCTATGCATCTAACGATGCAGAGGTTAAGGTTTAGGATTCAGCGTTTAGATATTCAGGGTTTTGGGGCGCTTGTCCCTCATCAAGACAATCCTGAACCCGCCAAGCGTCGCCAGCAGAAAGCTTGAAAGTCGGTACCTTCAGGGCTCCTTGTCGGGTTCCGTTTACCGTGCCTGCAAGCGTTCCTTTCAGGGTACCTTAAGTCAGACCCGAGGTATCGCTTAGGTCTTGTGTCGAAGTCTTCGAGGCTTTACAGCCGACTCAAGCTGCTGAAGCTTTGTGCACGGTTCGAGGCCTTTAAATTTCTCTAGCTTCACAGGGTTGCAGGGTTTAGGTCTTAAAGAAGCCCTACACTAAACGCCTTACAAACCCCGCCCTCATAGAACTCTTTAAGCAACCCTTAAAGGATCTCGTTTAAAGGATCCTTTAAAGGAACCCATAAAGGATCCTGAAAGGAACCCCGCACAACGTTCCTCGCCGCTCAGGGAACGGTGTCTGCCCTGCGCAGCTGGAGCATTTTCCCAGTGGGATGAGACCTACCTCAACCGCCGCTTGGCACCGGGTGAAACGTAGCATTCAATGAAAGGGTCTTGACAACTGGAAGAGGGTTTTTGGGCCCGTTATACTATAGCTATAATAAGGAGGCCCAAACATTGTATTTGTACTTGTTGAGCCCTTGTAATAGGTCTTGGAATGTATTCTTCTTACTTACTAAACCCCAAGGCCTTGTAGCGAAATTACTCGTCTTTGCACCCTCACCTACATTTCCTGCCGAGGAGTACCCGACGCGTACTGCTATACATCATCTGGATTTGAAATCCTTGTAACGCTCCACCAAATGTTATACATCTTCTAAGATTTGGTAGAGCCCTAAACCCTAAACCCTAAACCATAAGCGCACCACAGGAATCCCAGAAGCACCTACAAGACTCGATACGCATCATGCAAAGCCCACTAAAATTCTGGAAAGCCGACCCGAAATCTTAAGGCAAAACCTACGCCTAAAGCAGGAACCTCATCTGACGAGCCCTTCATCCTGAGGAACTTATAGTGTTTTTGAGGTTTAGGGTTTGAGGGTCGGGGTTTCGGTTTAGGGGTTTGGGATTTAGGGGTTAAGGGTTTGGGGTTTAGGGTTGGGGGTTTGGGGTCATGCTTGGGGCGGAGGGTTTAGATTCTACATCTGGTCTTTGAGCTTCATTCAATGAAAACTCAAAACTGGAGCCCTAGGTCGAAAGAGCCTTTGAGTGATGTCCCTCAGCGTAAACCCCCAAACCCTAAAAAATAAAGGCCTGATACCTCTTGCAGGGTTTAGGGTTTGGGGTTTAGGGTTTAGGGTTACAGTAAGGGATAGTATCGGTTCGTTACAAGCCATGGACCACACCCCAAGCAGAACAAGGAAAGAGGGTGTGACAGCACATCTTTATCAGTTATGGGTACGGAGCTAGGGGAATAGGGGTTTAGGGTTAATGTCTGGGGATTCCGAACATGGGGGATCTAGAGTCACTTCTTTAACAGTTGTGGTTTAGGGTTCGGGGATGTTGTACGCAAATTGCCGTATCCTCTCATCTTTGAGTAAACGCCACAGTCTCTACGCGCCTGGCATTTATGGGCTTGCCTGGTTTTGCTTCCTGTAGGGATACTGTAAGAGTTCTACCAGGGTTCCATCAGAGGTTCCGGCATCGAGTTCAGGATTTTGGGCTTTGGGTAAGGTTTGGAGCTGGAGTTCAGGGTATGTTTCTTGCAAGGAGCTTCAGTTAGCAAGATTAGCCCTAAATCCTAAGCCCGAAGCCCTCATCGAACACGTCCCAGAACCCTGATGAAGAAGCCGCCCCAACTCGACAAAACTCAAAGATCTGTTGGGCAGAAATAGTAGATCCGCTACCATATACTGCTACCATCAGTCCCGATATGCCCTACCAATATCCTTAGCTTCAGGCCATAGCACGAAACCCTGTACGCCCATAGCCCTACAGCTGAAGGCCCTACAGATCCCTTATAGAATCCCATGTAAGGAGCCCTTCAAGGACCCCTTTAAGTTACTAAGTTCCATGATCCCCCAAGTATATACAGCTAAGCCCTAAACCCTAAACTCCTAAACCTTCAACCCTAAACCCTGAACCCTAAACCCTGAACCCTAAAACTTAAACCCTCAGCCCTACGAAGGAACTTGCAGGAGTTGCCCGGCTGGATCTCGAATGCACCGCGGCCTCTGCACGCCCTGCGAGGCCAAACAAACGTTTGAAGAGGGTTTTGTTAGGGTTTATGGGGTGTTGCTGGGCTTTGTTCTAGGAGGGTTTCATGAGGGTTGTATAAGAGTTGTTACAGGGCGACATCAGGGGTTTCTTCTAAGGTTTTTGCTAAGGTTTGTATCAGGTTTGTGAAAGCTTTCTGCAGGTTTGAGCTTCGTAAGCGGTTCATAAGGGTTCGAGGCTTTAGAGCCTGAGGTCTTTTGGGGCCTGTGTTGCAGTTGGGTGCAGGTTATGGTTTTGGACCTAATCCCAATACCCTTATGCCCTACACCCCGAAGCTTCAATCCCAATCCACTAATCTAATATAGGGGCCATAATTAGAATAGGGTTTTGGGGCCCATCATACTATAACTACAATAAGGAACCACCAAAATATCATTGGTGAATATTGAGGCCCTGTATTACCTTAAGCCCCAGGCATTCAACCTTGTGAACGACCTTCCAGAAAACCCATCAACAAGCTCCCTAGCCCCTTTCACAACAGAGGGTTTGGGCCTAAACCCTGAGCCGTAAACCGAAAGTGCATAAGGCTTCTATAGGCATGCTCCAGGTCCTACGGTGGATGATATAAACCATGGGAGTTATGGTATACTCCTTATTATGGGTCATGCAGGGTTTATATCATCAACCGTATGTCTGTGGGGGTTTGGATGGTTTCGGATGAACCCAACAACCACCAAACAGTTCGGGGCTTCAATTTTCAAGGTTCGAGAAACCACTTTCTGGAAGGGCTTTCCTTAGCATTACGATCCGTATCTTACGGGCTTCAAGATCATCATCCCGATTGTAATCCTTAATCAAGGAGTCTGCGTATTCCTGTTGGGATCAAGAGATCCGCAGCTTTGCAGGCAGAACCCCCAAGACCTAAATACTCACCGGGACGGTGGGTTTAGGGCTTAGGGTTTAGGGTAAGGGGTTAAGGGTTCTCAATTAGAGGGTTTAGGGTCGTGGGGTCGACGGGCTGTGAACCCGATGGATTTTATGACTCAACTCGTCGATTGTAAGTAATGCTATTAGTACCCTGAGGCCGCACTTCGAGCCTATTTGTGAGTACCCTGTTGATCCTGAAGCCCCGACTAACCGCTTCTGGAACTCTTCTTTAAAGTCTTGTTGTGCCCCGAGTAAAGCAGCTTGAATAGTTAGCAAACATAGGCAATATGTACTTTTGCTAGGCTTCCGCTAATTACAGTGTACTAGGCTCCCGAACTCCGATATTCCCGTATCGGAGCCCTTATAATAATACCCCTGTACCTATAAAGTCCTTCCTTACAGGCACTCTATTCTAACATTCCCCTATACGGAACCCTCATACTGTTGTATCCATGACCTCCTTACAGGCTGGAACCTTCAACGCCTATTTTGGTGGTACCGCCTGCATGCCTTGCCTGGCAGGGGAGCATCTGGGCTGGGTGGAAGTTTAGGGTTCAGGGGTTTAGGGCTCGGGGCTTCGGGGTTTAGGGTGTAGGGTATAGGGTTTAGGGCTTAGGGTTCAGGATTTAGAGGTGTTGGGTGTAGGGGTTAGGAAAAACCCGAAATCCGAAACCCTAAACCCAAGAATCCGCAACCCGAAACCCTAAACCCTAAACCCACAACCCTACATGCCAGATACCCAAAGACCTACTACTGTACACCCTAGAACCCGAAACCGTAATGAAGACCTCATATAGCCACAAGTACGAGCTTAGTATGAAGGCCTAAGACCTAAGCCGTTTGTTCGACGCCAAGAAGCGTCAAATCCAAGGTACCAGCCGGTAACTGGGGAGACAGCCTGTGCTGCTCGCATTGCAATCAGTATCTGTTGCATGATAGGGTTTAGGGTTTAGGGTTTAGGGTTTAGGGTAATGGGATTTCGAAGGATGGGGGGATATGATGAACTGATTCGGAGCCTCTTGCTGACTCCGGATAAGAGATCAGCTGAGCAGATTTCGCTTGTCATGACGGCCTCAGAGGATCCTTCCCAGAGATCCCAACACCCCTTAATTAAGGAAGACACCTTGAATCATAATATTAAGGCCTCTATAGTTTAAGGTATGTTCCTGAGTCAAGGGTTATTGGGTGGAGTTTCGGGTTCAGGGTTTTGGGGTTTAGGGTATTTAGAGAGCGCTTCGGGGATTAGGGTTTGGGGTTTACGGCCACGGTTTGTGCCCTCCAGTAGTTTGGTAGGGCTTAAAACCCTGAACCCCAAACCCCAGACCCTCAAACCATAAAGTCTACAATCAGTACCTTCAAACATCTGATAGTCAAAGCAAGCAGTCACACTAAGACAAACATAGTCTAAGAACACATCGCTCAGGGTTTAGGGCTCAACGCTTCAGGGTATTTGTTTAGGGTTTACCTATAGTCTCCACTGCAGTTCCTTTTTGGGGTTGCCTTCTAGGATCCTTCATACAAAATTGGTTAAACCAAAACAAGGAACTACAATGGATACTTTAGGTGAGGTATATTACCCACAGGACCTTAAGTACCTATATGGTAGAAAGTTGGTTTAGGGTTTAGGGTTCAGATGGACCGGATGAGGGATCAGGCTTGAGTTCAGACCCGGCGCTGGAAGCAGTGATGCGAGTGACTCAAGAATTCTGATCCCTATGGGGGCGTCTCTGACAATTTGCTAGGTCTCTTCGGGTTTTAGGATTTAGGTAGGATTCTGGGTCATGGATTTGAGGGTGTATATAATTTGATATAGCTTTAGGGTTTAGAGTTTCAGGATTTAAGGCTGGGTGTGCCGAGGCTTCTTCTGTCTGATCCAAAAGCCTCAGCCAAATCTTGATTGCAACGGTTGAGGGTTTTGGTTGTGGACAGGGTTACGCGAACCTTTAATCCAAAACCCAAGCTGAAATCCTGAACCCCATATGTATCATATGGGTGGTTGTCAAAATTAGGGTTCCTTTTTGGGTCCCTATTATAATACGGCACCTATTATTTAGGGTACCCAAAAAGGGATCTTAATTTTGACAGCTATCCATATTTGGCCCAAGGAGAAGTGCCCGGCTGGGAAGTTCAGTGCGCAAAGTGCGTCGGTGGCTGCTTCGCTGTGTTTCTCTATTCTGATGCAGAAGCCAACCTCAGGTAGTTTAGGATTCGGTGTCCTAAACCTTAGACCCTAAACTAAACCCTAAACCCTTCGCCGTTTCTTCACAGTCCCTGTGTAGCTGTCTTGATCGGTTCTTATTGGGAGTCGGTTCCCCTCAGAGGCTTCGTGGCTTAACGTGGTTGGCTACATAGCTCGCGCTAATGTCAATAGCCACAGGGGCAGGAGAGCATACGGGATCCATGCCGATAGGGTTCAAGAATTTTTGATCTGCTTCCATCCTATGCAGCCTCAGCCCGAACGAAATCCTGAATGAACCCTTAAATCCCCCCCAAAGTAGGCCCAAAACCCTGAACTCCCAAGCATCATCAACAACCCCAAATCCGAAAGCCCTAAGCCTATAAACCACAGTTGTGTATGTAAAGCCTACACCCTGGGCAGTGGTGTTTCCGGGCTCCTTAGCTGTTTGATGAGGTCTAATTGGAGGTTCATAGGTAGTTATAAGTGGGGCTACATGTAGGGTAACTCTACGCATAATAACCCTTATTAAGGGACTTCTAGCCCTACTTATAACTACCCCTAAACCGCCCTCAAGAAACCCCTAAACGAACCTTTAAAGGAACCCATAGCCCCATTTATAACTACCCATGAACCTCCACGTACAGCAAAACGAGGCACCTTAGACTGGTGCCTAAACTGGTCAAGGGTTTGGGGTAGACGGGTAGAAGCCCTCAACCCTTAAACCCCTAAAAATTATGGGCAAGGGTTTGGGATAGTATGTATCGTGACCTTGTTTCGTGTGTAGTGATAACTGGTTGTTCTGGGGATTGCTATTACTGAGTTGTATGTAATGCACGTGGCGTGTAATGATGATGATGATGGTGGTGATGATAATGATGATGGTGATGCCGGCAATGATGATGACGATGCTGATACTGATGATGTTGATGATGAGACGATGGGTCTGGTGGTGTTGTTGTTGATGATGGTGGCGGCGGCCTAACCACAAAAGCCCAAACCCATAAGCCCTAATTAATGCAGTTGTTTGGAGTTCAAGCTGTAGGCAAGGAGGGATGCAGGGCTTGCGACTTTGTGGTAAGCGTTCCTGTCACAGTTCCGGTAAGGAGCGTCCTGTCCTTGCAAACGGCGCTTATCTCGTCGTTCGTTGCCTGTTCATCGTTTGTGGTTGAGTTTAGGATTGCAGCCCCAGGCTGCCGTGATAAACAGAGCGTCATTACTCCCCCCCCCCCCCGCCCCCCACCCCCCATCCCCCCGCCCCCCCCAAAGAGCAAGCAGAGCACATGACGGAAAACAACACCGACGAAAAAAACGCAGAAAACGCAAAGCCGCAGACATCCAAAAACATGCCTTCAGAAAGTCAGGAATACAACACACTGGCCACGTTTTTCGATGCTCGGACGAATTCGCAACCCAGAATGTATTACCAAACGTGACGTCGTTTTTGGTGCAAAAAACAAAGACAGCTCGAATCAGACAAAACACTCGGCTACCAAGAAAGGAACACGTGCAACAAGGCGAAAACCTCGCGCAGGGCGGTGTTTTCCATTTGGCGGAAGGGCCGTGCGAAGGAGAAGGGCATGCAAAGGCACATAAACAACAGGAAAAAGCACCCTTGAAAGTGAACCCGCTAGGATTAAAAAGTCTTATCCCCTAAACCCTAAACTGTCCTTTACAGAACCCCAAAAAAGCCAATAAAGGAACCCTTAGAGAACCCCCAAAGGAGCCCCACAAAGAAACCCTTTAGAGAATCCCCCAAGGAGCCCATAAAGGAATCCCTAAACGGATCCTCAACGGCCCTTACATGCCCAAAACCATAACTAAGGACTACTTGGACCCTTAGGGTAAACCCTTACGCCCTCAAACCCCTAAGCCCTTTAGCCCCTAAACCTTTAAACCCAAAAACCCTTAACCCCCCAAACCCCTAAACCCTTAAGCCCTAAAACCCTTAAACCCCTAAGCCCTTATGCCCTCAAACCCCTAAACCCTTAAGCCCTCAAACCCCTGGGCTCAAAAACCCTTAAACCTTAAACTGCGAAGCGGGGGTAGCCTCGGTCCTCCGAGGCCTGCACAGCTTGCACTGACACCTTCGATGCCAGCAGCTGCCTCAAATCATTTCATTCCTTCTAAGACTTTCGTTTTACGGCATCTGTTGGGGTTGCTTTACGGGACTTTTAAGGGTTCCTTTAAGGGATCTTGAACGGCTCCTTTAAGGGATCCATAGGTGCTCCTTCAGGGGTTCTTTTGCGAGTTTAGGGCTTGCGCAAGGTTTGGGGTGTTTTGCAGGCGTTCTGTGAGGGTTGCTAAGGCTACTAGGTGTAAGCGACTGTAAGGGCTACAAGCAAGGCGTTAAGGCGAATTCTTCCAAGGTTTGCACAAGTCTCGCAGTGGCAGCACTAATGTGGTACATAGGTTCTGCGGAGGCTTGTCAAATGTATATTATATAAACAAGCAAGAGGTTGTTTGGAACTTCCGTCAAGGTCTTTACGAGGTGTGTACCAAGGTCATGCAGGGTTAGCCACTTCGGGTTCCTCAAGTAAACCAAGCTTCGCACCCTAAACCCTTGGGAGCTTACACCCCAAGCCGCTAAGCAAATACAAATTTCACTCAAGTCCCAAGTCCTAGGCCTTCAGCCCTAACCCTTATCATTTGGGTTTAGGGTTTGAGTTTAGGGTTTAGGGTGGGTTTAGAAAGCCAAGACTAAGGCAATCCCAACGAGCAGCGACGCTTTGCGCCCGAGGGCAGCGCCTCCTGCATCGCCTGCCCTGTAGGCCGATGCTTGCATTCCTTCCTGAAGTTTTAGGGTTCAGGGGTCAGGGCTCCGGGCTAAACCCCAAACCGTAAGCCTTTATCCGCAGGAGTGTGGTGTCTCTTTTGTGGTGCTGTTTGCAGGGTTCTAGCCTGCCTTGTGTGTTTGTGTGTTTGTGTTCGATTCTCAGGCTCATGCTCTAAAACCATTACAAAGCCGCTGTAAGGAGCTTATGAAGGAGCACATTCTGTGCCCAGGACAGTCTGCAACCCCAAATCCTATAGCAGAGGGGTGTGTGGTCTAGCGATCAGGGAAAAGTTAGCAAAATATTCGTTTCTAGTCCATACATAAAGACACTTCAACATATCACAAAAACTCGGTGATAGCTATGAAGGCCCTTATATACCCTTACGCCATTACTTACCCTAAAGCCTCCTCAGGAAAGCCTAAACCCTAAACCCCTAAACCCCTGAACCCCTGAACCCCTAACCCCTAAACCTCTAAACCCCTAAACCCTAAATCCTAAACCCTAACCCCCCCTTAAACCCCTAAACCCTCTACTTGAAAGCCTAAACCCCCAAGGCCCCGCAACCCCCGAGCCGTTGCTCCAAAGCGCCGAACCTAAACCGCACGCGCTTAAAGCCCCTCAAGGCCCTGGCGGTTCAGGGTTCAGGGTTTAGGGTTTAGGGTTCAGGGTTTAGGGTTTAGGGTTTAGGGTTTAGGGTTTAGGGTTTAGGGTAAAACCCTCAAGGCCCTAGATGCCTAAATCCGGTAAAACCATGTATAAAATCCATATCAAATCCTGTTCTACCTATGAAGTCTAAAACCCTTCTACAAATTCATAAAATCCATATCAAATGCTGTTCTACCTATATAAGCTTTTTCTTTGTGGGAAAACGTCTTCAGAGCTTTTTTGCTAATCTACTTCAGCTAAGGAGCCCATACCGAGCCGTAGTAGAGCCCGTCTCCCCCTAAACCCCGTATCGAAGGTTTGCAAGACCCTATGTCCCTTCGTGACCCTCAGCCCCTTATCGAAGTTTTGCAAGACCCTATGTCCATGCGTGACCCTAAACCCCTTCTCGAAGTTTTGCAAGACCCTATGTCCCTACGTGACCCTAAGCCCCTTATCGAAGTTTTGCAAGACCCTATGTCCATGCGTGACCCTAAACCCCTTCTCGAAGTTTTGCAAGACCCTATGTCCCTACGTGAACCTACACCCATTATCGAAGTTTTGCAAGACCCTATGCCCATGCGTGAGCCTAAACCGCTTCTCGAAGTTTTGCAAGACCCTATGTCACTACGTGGCCCTAAGCCCCTTATCGAAGTTTTGCAAGACCCTATGTCCATGCGTGACCCTAAACCCCTTCTCGAAGTTTTGCAAGACCCTATGTCCCTATGTGAACCTACACCCATTATCGAAGTTTTGCAAGACCCTATGCCCATGCGTGAGCCTAAACCGCTTCTCGAAGTTTTGCAAGACCCTATGTCACTACGTGGCCCTAAGCCCCTTATCGAAGTTTGCAAGACCCTATGTCCATGCGTGACCCTAAACCCCTTCTCGAAGTTTTGCAAGACCCTATGTCGCTACGTGACCCTAAGCCCCTTATCGAAGTTTTGCAAGACCCTATGTCCCTACGTGACCCTAAACCCCTTCTCGAAGTTTTGCAAGACCCTACGTCTCTACGTGACCCTAAGCCCCTTATCGAAGTTTTGCAAGACCCTATGTCCATGCGTGACCCTAAGCCCCTTCTCGAAGTTTTGCAAGACCCTACGTCCCTACGTGACCCTAAGCCCCTTATCGAAGTTTTGCAAGACCCTCTGTCCATGCGTGACCCTAAACCCCATCTCGAGCTTTTGCAAGACCCTATGTCCCTACGTGACATTAAACCCCTTATCGAAGTTTTGCAACACCCCTATGTCCCTACGTGACCCTACACCCTTATCGAGCTTTTGCAAGACCCCATGTCCCTACATGACACTTGCAAAACCCCTATGTCGCTACGTGACGCTACACCCCTTCTCCAGCTTTTTCAAGACCCTATGTCCCTACGTGACACTAAACCCCTTATCGAAGTTTTGCAAGACCATGTCCCTACGTGAACCTACACCCCTCATCGAAGTTTTGCAAGACCCTATGTCCCTACGTGACCATTTTCGAGCTTTGCAAGACACTGTGTCCCTACGTGACCCTAAACCCCTTATCGAAGTTTTGCAAGACCCTATGTCCTTATGTGACCCTAAACCCCTTATCGAAGTTTTGCAAGACCCTATGTCCCTACGTGACACTTGCAAAACCCTATGTCGCTACGTGACCCTACACGCCTTCTCGAGCTTTTGCAAGACCCTATGTCCATGCGTGACACTAAACCCCTTATCGAAGTTGTGCAAGACCCTTATGTCCCTATGTGAACCTACACCCATTATGTCGAGTTTGTGCAAGACCCCATGTCCCTACGTGACCCTAAGCCCCTTATCGAGCTTTTGCAAGACACTGTGTCCCTACGTGACCCTAAACCCCTTATCCAAGTTTTGCAAGACCCTATGTCCCTACGTGACCTTAAAGCCCCCTACATGACCCTAAACCCTTCAACCCCATCAAGCCTACACCCCTGAACGACCTAAACCCCTGAACCCTTAAACCCTAAGCCCTAAAACCCTAAAGCCCTAAACCCCAAGGCCGGGCGACCTTGGGGTTTCCGGGTAGGGGTTTGCACCCTCCACACCCCTGCAAAGATGGGTGCACAACATGTTTGTGGTTCGCTTTATTTTTGTTTGCATGGTTTTTCATGGCAAGCGACTTCCGCGCAGTCATGAAACATAGAGGGTTGTTGATTGCAAACTTGTTTTGGCATACAGCGTTGCTTGTGTTCAAGCAAAGGCAGGCATGGGCGGCCCCCGAAAAAGTACAAGTCGGGTGCGATTTGCCCACAACGAGTATTGTGTCACCACAAAGTTGGATGTGTGTTGTGCCAGGTGTACGAAGGCCTTGCGAGCCTCGATCTGCAATTTGGAGGCTAGCAAGGAGAATAGGCCACAGTGCCTGAGTAGCAGCGAGAGCAATGGTGCAGACGAACTACAATGGAAGTTGGACATGGACCATGGATCAATCGAGCTGCTAGGCCCAAGTGCCTGAGTGAAGAGCAACAGCGATCCAAACCCGGCATAGCGCGGGAGGCTGAAAGCTTCACATCAACATGCAACGGCTCCGCAGCCCTGGGCGCTCGCAGGAAGCCGCGGAAGGCCTGATGTGAAATGTGGGGGACTCAGCGCGCCGCTGCCGAATTTGCTCGGCCGCAGCTCGGAGTCGTCATTTCGGAAAGATCGACAGGTGCTGGGAAGGGTGTGTTAGTTGTGTTTTGCATTGCAGTTTCTGGCTATTCTAAGCCGTGAACCCCACATATGAAGATCTTCCTAAGGCTTTTGGGTTTCGGGGATGAGGTTCTGGAAGTGGAAAACGTGTTGGGTGTTCAATCTTCCTTCCGGATACAGGCCTCGCACAGTCCGGAATTCGACAAGCGAATTTCTCGAATCACAGTCATCAACTAGTCTCATATTATCACAACAGAGCAGTCTGAGCAACAGTAGCGGCAGCACTGGCAGAAGTGCTTGTTGTACTTGGGGCCTTCGAATACAGATTCACTTTTGGCCCGTGGCATCGACCGGATTCGCCTCATGCAGTCCTCTGCCACTGCCTTTGCTGGCTATGGCCAGTGCAAAACAATCAAGATCGGACCAACAGTTCAGGATTTAGCAGCAGTGCGAGGATTTCTTTCTGCTGCAACAGGACAGGATTCCCTTCACGGATGAAAGACATTTGCTGTGACACATGTTGTCATTCCTGTCGGGCTGCTTCTCTTGCCTGGCCAGGTCTGAAGACCTTTTTCCACACCCGGAGTTGAAATCATGCCTGAAAGGTGTCGAGACTTAGTTGATGCTTCTCGACTGCGTAGCAACTGCAGCAAAACACCATCGCTCGGATGATAGATCTCGGAATGCCAAATGCCAAACACCTTTAACCAACCTTCAAGCCTAAACACATCTCGTGAATGTTGAACCCTTATCATCTCAAAGGCTAGCTGCAACCCACGTCTAAAGTTCCAGCAAGCAGATGTCCTTTTGCCTAACACGCAGTGCAGCCGCCAGGAGATTTCCGGTTTCGTGGTTAGGGGACAACTGCTACATCCTGCATTATGGTCTTGCCTTCTAAACACATGCACGAGAAACTGGTTCTCTTGTCTTGAGGTTTCATGCCGAGACGACGCGAACTAGCACCGAGCAGAAGCACAATCGAAGAGAAGACTTGTACATGGTATGCGGAGTGCAAACGATTGTGGTTGATGCGGAAGGTG